AGCAAAAGATACTGAATTATACCGACAATATTATAATGACAATCGTCTGATTCTCGCCCGCTTTAAAAAGGCAAATTGAAATAAAATGAGAAGCATTATGTAATGTTGCAGTATGGTTCATCTTGTTGATAGTTATATTGTTTTGTCGCGTGCGTATACGTTCGCACTCGTCTCTCGTGGATTTTCGCCCTTATATGCCGCGTTGTCGGCTGCTTTTGCTGTACATTGTACATCTTGTTTGCATTGTACAGCATTTTTGATGATTTTACATTTACAACCAGACATTCGAGCCAAAGTCATTGCAATCAATTCAAATTCCACTGTACTATACAACCGCAAAATGCTCATCAATGATGTGTTCTATTTGCGTAATGACCATCATTTGTTATTTAATCGAATCAAAACCGCTCACTTGATCAACATCCAGTTCCTTGTGGCACAGCAGAATAAAGAACAAAAAAAAACCCACCGATAGAAAGAGCATTTTGTAATAAATGGTAATATTATGGACTACAAATAGTTTTTCAACTCAAATGACATCTAAAATGATGAAGAATTGCAAATAGAGAAAAAAAATACGCGCATTTCTCGTGTAATATTATGAATAGAACTGCTGCATTAAAAGCAGCATTCGATCAATAAAATTCCGCAATGAAAATGCACACGATCGCAATTATGATGATGAAGAATGAAAAGAGGAACAGAAAGAGAGAGAGAATGTTGAAAAGAGAAAAAAAACCGTCGAAGAAACAGTTTGCAAATATTCTAGTGAGCAGCATTCCTTAGCTAATGGCATTATACGCATTTCGCTCTAACTCAATTCTTAATTTTACCTCTTTCGACCGATTCTATCGCACAAAACGTGATGGATTTATTTGCAAACAAAACACCAATCGACACCATACCATGTACACATTTTTCTGTGTTTGTGTGCGTGCGCGTAAGCGTGAGCAAGCACAGATTTGGTGCTCGCATTTCATTTGCATTCCATTGCCTAACGTATCACCCTAACAAACAACGAAATGAAAAAAAAAAGAAAAAAATACACAAAATCACCCGGTGAGATTTTTATGCGTGTTTTGCCTTTGGACAATTTACGCAAATGTACAAATAATGTGTGTGTGTGTGCGCGCAACAAAAACATCAAATGAAATATATGTGTAACACCATGCAAACAATTTCTAAAACACGTACCACTTCGATGGCTTCGAAGTAGGTATGAAGACAGACAGACAGAGACAGAGAGAGAGAGAGACGCATGAAAGAAAAGATAAACACAACTAACGATACGATCAGTTTATGTAATTTTATCATAATTGCCATTATATGTAACTGGATAGTTTATTTTTAATATTCGTTCACACGCGCATATTTCATGCGTAATGTGGTCACTCAATTCATATTTGTTAAGCCCAACAATAAATCTCAAGAAGCGCACCAAATTCAATGCACACATTTTATCTGATTCCCGCTCTCTTGCTCTCTTATTCTATGAAAATTTCAAACACGTGGATCTAACGGCAATTTGTATTTTTTTAATATTTAGACATTGAAAACCGACTGCAGACTCTGCACATTTTATTGATTATGTACATTGAACGGAAAGTATTCGAAAAACAAATCCATCGTTCGTGAATCGAAATATAACGATAATGAATTTGTGTTGAAAAGTGATTTTTTCTTTTTTTCGAAGAGCTTTTATGAATACAAATGTTGTTTTTTTTTATCTCAAAGGCACAAGCCTAACAAGGAAGTTCAAACAAAATGGAGCTACAGAATTTCTATGATTTTTTTTTGTTTTCGCCTGTCATCACTTCAAAACAGGATTCGATACACAAGTTTTCTATAAAATCATGCTCTTAGAGTGTTATGTAACTGTGGTAAAATACGTTTGCAAATGTTGAGATTCCACACACGTAATTCGGTAAAACTGAACCGATGAGGAGAGAGTACAGCATATTTTGATTTGGTCGATGGTGTTCAGTTTGCGTTTTGTCTATTGTTTCGGCATGGATTTTGAAAATGGAATAATTTAAATTGACTCAGCAGGATTATTAGTACATTTTGCATCAGAAACAAACGTATTCCCAAACACATTAGGCCGTATTTTACATTTAAATTGCCTTTTTCTACCTTGTTAAAAAGCACCATCATAAAAGTTAAATCGCATCCACGCTTGCAATGCCGATTTGCTGCTCTGACTGTTTTTTCTTCTCTTTTATAACGGAAACGACAGCAAATCCAATAGATTCGTTTAAATGTGTTTTATTTGTACATGTCATGAAAAATCAAACTTTTTCTCTCTTTCGATGTTTTCCACTTCCGACAATTGATTTAGATATTTTGATAGGCATACACAATTTTCCAAAATGTATTCCCAATTCAAAAGTTACCGAATACAACGACAAATGGGAATTGTGATTTTAGCGAAATGTCAAACAAATCGTATCGCTTTTCTGTCAGCCGTGTAATTGTGTTTTTGTTTTTTAATTTATCTATCTCAAAATTGTATATTCATTTTAAATACTGTTTACCGTTTCAACGGAATATCATTTGATCAAATGTGATCGAGTGGTGCGTAAACGACTGGATGTAGTTTTTTTTTTTGAAAATCATTGGAAAAAACAAAAATGCGTAAAACCGCACCTATTTTTATTTCGAATGGAAAAGGAAAAAAACGTTCAACTCCATTCGAAAAATATTCTCGCTTAATTGATGGCGAATAAATAAAAGTTAACCGTACCCAATAAATTCCAATTTCCATTTGGCATTTCAATTTCGATTCGTTTATCTCTTCACCATCTCACATAGCTCCGCAACGCAATTGCGTTCGAGAGCAGAAAAAATATACTCGCACACACACACACACATACGTGAAATGACACTATGGAAATGTACGGCCCCAATCATGCCACAACTATTATATTTCAACTGACGACATGCATTCACGCAGATCATTTTACGCATTCACCGGTTCTCTGCTATTTCACAGGCAAAAACCAATGGGAAAATACGTTAATTTCGCTCACAATTATATAGATTGGATTGAATCAATAAAAAAAATCAAATTGAAATGGAATAATAATGAGAGGGCAAAAAAATATTAAATTTAATTATCGAGAATTCTCACTTAAATGAGAAACAAACAGAAAAAAACGGCTGACTGAACTCTGCAGTAAAATGACAATAAATTATTATCCATTTGGTATAGCTATGAAATGCACATAAATATAATGCAGTATCACATTCAATTTATGAGATTACATGACGCAATTAACGGTATTTTGATTACAAAAATAGACTTGCGACAAGGAGTCTCACCGATATTATGCGGAGATTATCATTATTAAAATCTCGTGTCGTATTTTCGGCATGAACAGATTTTGCCATGTTTATCAGACGAATGGAACAAACAAAAAAAGCATGTCTATTTGCAAAGGCAACAAAAAATGTTATACTGGTTCAATGGGATCAAATCATTTACATTTCATTCTCTTATGACATCATCTTGTACGCGCATTCGTTTGCGCGCGTTTATTTATACTTACGCAATATTTTACGCACTTTTTCCGTGTTTTAAATTTTAAATGATGCAGAAGCACAATCAATCACGTGAGAGATAATGCTGTCTTATAGCTCCTCATATTTTATGCAGCAAAATCTGAAAAGATGAACACAAACAAAATAAAATTACAAATATACAGAAATATGACGAAGCGCCAGTGGAGCAAACGGTTTACGAGAGAATGTTTCGCTCACTGTTTAGTGCATTGGGCGAGAAACTACATATTTTGAATATGGTTACGCAGCTATTGGCCCAGTCATGAAGGTTTTTTACGTTTTTAATGAATTCACTTTGCATTGATAATGGGGCTTGTTGCCTATTTTCAAAGAATGATGCCGTTGTATGGGTGAAAAAAAAAAAAAGAAATCGGATTCACATCTCAATGAACAGAGCGAGAGCAGGAGAGAGAGAGAGAGAGAGAACAAAAGGATGCGCAGATAAAGTGGTTGTCGTGCTGTGCTTGTCCTTCTGTTGGTGTGTGCGGTGTGCGCACATTATTTGTGCTACATTCAATTGCGAGAGCTGATGTTTGTTGTCTTTTAAATTCTGAATAAATGCATACATACTTTATTCAGACGGAATTACATTTGTTGTCGAATGCATAATTCAGTGTTGTTGTCGTTGATTTTGCGACAAAAAAGGCTGGCTTGTGCTGCAATGTATTCCTCATTTGATAACTTAAAATGTGGGCTTCGGTGATGATAAGCATACGCTAGCTATTAAACACACATACACCACAATCTATCAATACGAAAAAAAAGTTCGACCAACGCACCGCCACACATTTCATGCAGCACGGAAAAAGAAAGACGGAGATAAATGAGCCATACGACATTAAAAAAACATGCCGAAAGTATAAGCATTTTCGTATGCAATGATATCACATTTTAAGTGGAACGTTGATATCATTCGCGGCAATTGCTTGAGTTATAATTTCACCGCCGACAATCATATCAACATTTACAAATCGGCAATATTTCTATGATTAATTTCGTTTATTGTTCAATTTAAAATGGGTGGTCGTGGATTGAGCGTACCATTATTCACATTTTTCGTTGATACAACCATACGTACGGTTTGTGCGACTGGGTGCCGCAACACTCGATTTCAAACAGTTTTATTGAAATCCGTTCGGCGAACATGTTTTTTTTTGCGCTTCGTACCACACCAACATGCGTTATTTATTGCAATGCATTAAAATGCAAATTGCTAACATTAATTTCACAAATGCTTCGCCGTAGTTATGAAGTCATGTGTATGCATACGCATTTTAAACGGTCTTTGCAGCCAAATTCGTTGATCTTTACTCTACACTGATCTCGTTAAATGATCACCAACCTAATAAATTTTCTAAGCAATTATACCGAAAACCATTTCCACTCACTTTGGATTTAATTGATTTTATATGGCTATTTTTGTTTTTATTTCATTGCAGGAAATGCATTTTTGTCATCGGGACAAGGAGTAAAAGGGCCCGATCCACAGATCAGATTAGTCGTTCATCCGAACAAGCATGTTATCATTCCTGTTGGTTCGTTTGTTTTGCTGCATTGTGAGGCCAATTTTACCGACAATTCAACACCGAACGATGAAAGTGACTATGAAAACGATGAACCATTTTTTCCCGACGAAAGTGATTTCATACAAAATGATGAAGCAAGTGACTATTCAAATCATCAAGAAGAAAATACCGCTACGAATGTATGTCAGCAGGAAGTGCAATATCAATGGCTGCGGGATGACAGGCCAATTAACGACACACTTAGCTCGTATATTCAAACATTTTGTAATGGTACCATAAAAATTGCACATTCAACTATTGCCACAGCCATTTATCGATGCGTAGCTAAAACAACAAAACCAGACATCGGTGCAATCATCTCAAAAGCATCTAAAGTCGAAACAGCAGGTAACATTCAATTTCGGCAATGTCAATGCAATGCAAAATGATATATTTGACAATTGTTTTCCAGTTCTTGAACGAAAATTCGACAATTTAAAGTTGACAGCAGAGCTTGGCAGTTCGCTCGTCTTGAATTGTGCTATTGAAAGCATACCGACAGCAAATATTCAATGGTACTTTAACAATGGAACGAACATCAATTTGGACGTGGCCGAAAGGTATAACCATTTACCATTTGAACTTTTACTCAAAAACGTTTCGATTCACTGAGAATTAAATTCAAAATTAATTTGCAGATACTTTCAACTGAATAATGGAAGTCTTTTAATCGTCAACGTGATGAATCAAGATTATCAAACTTTTCGGTAAATTGTTTACTATTCAATTATTAAATCGTCGAAATTTAACCAAAAAATTTATTTTACAGGTGCTCTGCACGAAACGAGTTTTATAAGGATCGAAAACATATTCAATTTTTGCTCGAAGTAACACATTCAATTACGGCAAATAATCCGATGCTTTTACCACCGCTACAAAATCAAGACATTTTTATTGCAAATGGGCAAGCATTAAATTTATATTGTGCACTCACATCCATGGCTACATCAAGAAATGCGATTCGATGGACGTTTACATCTCGGACGGAAAAAATGTCATCAATTGAATTGGTTACACAAAATCCATATAAATTGCACATCGCAAATACATCGGTCGAAAAAAATGACGGCATCTACAGATGTCATTTTGGAGATGAATATCAAGTAAGTAATTTTAAAAAATGCAGATTAAAATCGTGATATCATTTCATCTATCAAACATAAAACAGTTTTACTCGTTTTAATTATTCAATTTGTGCTTCTGATTAATCTCATTCTCATCAATTTCGAAAGCGTAAGCCAGCACTCTTGGTGCTCGGTGTGCTTATTTTAATGCATCGATTTATTTCAAATTTCTTGTTTTTCTTCATATCGCATGAGTGTATCGCATTGACACTTTGTCACAGCTGGATGTCTCATCGATTCATTTCCATAACCAAGACCAAGCATCCATATGAATGCATTCATATCACAGTGTATAATGAATTGAAGTTATGAAATAATCCTGAATCGATCAACGGATAAATTCAGTGAACCGCACATTTTCTATATTCGACACTTAAACTGCCAACTAAAACACCAATTCCATTCATAAATGTCATTTTAATAATCTGTGTGATGGTTGTGGCACGTGTCGAATAAAATGAACATGCTGGATTTGGTTCGTTTAAACATGCAATTTCCCAGAAAAATACACAAAATACATGTATCAAAAGTTATTAATAACAGTCCAAGGTTTTCGGTTAAGAGAAAATCCATTGAACATTTGTTGTTGTTCAAAGAAAGAGCTTGTTAGTACGATTTGTAACGCAATTCCTTTAATATTATTACATTCTTAGGTTGATTTTCACAAATCTGATTATATTCTACATTTTTGCATGTATATTTATACATTTCTGAGACTTATTCTGGTATATTTTTGTTGTGTTGTTTTTCGTTTTATTCCGTTAACTCCAATTTACGCAGCTCCTTTTATGGAAGATGATTTTTTATTGATATTTTTTTTTATCGCGTGGAGCATTTCTTGAACGGTCCGAAAATCATTTCTTGTCCATGCACGATCATTAAAAATGTAAAAATAATTATATTCGAACGGCGATACGTACATATTTCTTAATTCCTAAAATGGTCTTCAATTTATGATGAAAATCTACACATAATTCAAGTGGAAATATCATCTTTTGACGTGAGAAAATTTCTCCGTCTCTTTTTTATTCCAGAAAGGTTATCGAAAACATTTTTTTTTTGTGTCAAACTTTTCACCTCGTAGGAGAACCTTTCTCATTATTTTTTCGATTGAAATCAAATTCAAAACGTTTTTTTTTTCTTTCAATTTTCCCGATTAGACCTTTGATGTAACCATAACAACACCGCCTGTAATACATGATGCGTTTACATCAAAAGAAGGAGCATTGGGTTTTTATGTTAAATTAAACTGTAATGTAACCAGCAATCCAAAAGCAACCGTTCAATGGTATCGTGATGGTAAATTAATCGAATACGATTGGATTGTGCGACCTGATGAATCGAAACTATTGATTCAAACGTATGAGGAAAAAGATAAAGGTATCTATCAATGTGTTGCAACGAATGTGGCCGGTGAGGTGCACGCAACTGGTTTGATGAGCTTGAAACCGAAACAGCACATGGATCCACCGAAAAACCCAAAATGCTTTCCACTGAATTTGACAACGTTCAAAGTCACTTTCGATGGACCACAATATTATCGCGTATGTGTTTATTGAACTTGATTAACATTTTTTTTTTGGCAAATTTATTTTATATATTTATATTGATTGTTGTCCCTTTTTTCTCTATTATAAATGATCTGTAGTGGTCAGCGGTTACCTATTACGTTGCGAGCAAACGTAGTGAACCATATTGGTATTCAAAAGTTTTGCATGATGAAAACACGCGTGTTCAAAACACTTTCACTGTTACGGATAAAAGAAGGCCACCATTTGAACCAGTTATGGTTTATTTTCGGGGAATGGAACGAATAAGCTCAGCCGATACCGGAGGCAAAGTAAAAAGTGTGATATACGATCTTTCACGATTGTCAGAAGGAGTTAAGTGCGCTACACAAGGGTGTAAGTATTATTAACCTCTGAAATTTCGAATATAAACATTCAAGGTTTTTTATTCTTCTTCTTTAAATTGAAACTTGACATTATCGCTATTAATTGAATGGACGTAATTTATTGAGTCCAAATTATATACCCTGAAAAGTAAGTTTAATCGATAAAATAATTGGTTACTTGTTTGTTTGATTTATAGTACCGATATCTGGGATGTTTTCACCTTCGGGTATTTTTATTTGGTGGTCAAAGAAATTAATAAATGCAACGAAATATATTATTCAATTTCAAAGTGATGAAATGACATCGTTCAGCAATCAAATAGTTGGTACAACGCAACACATTGATTATTATCAATCGTGGAATGATACGGTTGGTGATTTAACCAATATCTCCGTCACAACCAACATTTATCCGTACACCGAACTCGATGATTATGACGACCGCACAACACAAACCGATAACAATGAAATGAAAACAAATTCAAAAATGTTAACCGAGTTACGCGTCGATGGTAATGTTTCGGGCATACTCATACCGAATACACATGAAATCATTGTACGTGTGCTGGTGCCAATAATCGATGACGACGGCGAACTTATTCAAGACGTAAGATTTGTTGAATGGAAAAAGGTTCGTATGCATTTTCAATATACATGGGTGCAGTTTCTTTAAAATAATAATTTATAATTCAGTAAGTTTTCTCATATCCAAAAACTTTCGGCTTTTCACAAATAGATTGAAGATACTTCGAGACGAATGACAAAATTTAAAATTTGGAGCATTGGAATTAATCAAATTACATTTCAATCGATGGATCCACGTCTTAGATGCGTTCAAATTTGTTATCTAATGGATGGGGAACAGATTTGTGACGACAAGTAATTTATCTATCTCTTTTTTTTTCTCTCTCTCTCTCTTTCTTCAAACGAATACGAAGTTGTAACGAATTTAATCATTGCAGATCAATTGAAAACTCCTTTGTCGATGTTGTATCTCTGAAATCATACACAGCATACACATTTTTGTTGTTCAAATGCAGTGAAACGGAAACACTTTTCAACAAATTTGAAATTCAAACAAATCACGACAGTAAGTTTTTGTTGAGTCTCTTTGCATCGGGTTGATTAAATTAATTTTCATTTGATATGTTCAAACAGTACCTGGTAGTGTGACCAATCATACGATTTACAAAGACAAAGGTATTGTTATTGAATGGGGTCCTCCAACCAAAGCAAATGGCATTTTGGAATACTATTTGATTAAATGGACAATAGCAAATACGACACACGAGAAACACATTCCCTATCAAAGTGAAATCATTAAAAATGAATTCAAAGTGAGTAAAAGAAATGGATACCTTGTGGAATTAAGCAAGTGATATATATTGTATTCCGATTTTTTTTTTCTGTATTAGTTTCCCGGCCAAGAGAGTGATCGTTTCAATATATCCATTCAGGCTGTAAGTAATTTTGGCGTTGGCATTCCAATTTATGTTGATCTGCGTGAAATGAAAGAAATTCCAAGCATTTGGAATATCAATACCAACACGTCCAAATATCAAGATCCACGTTTAGGAATATCAATTGGTGTTTTACTTTCGGTGATATGTGTCGTTGTTTGTGCTTTAATCATAGTGAGACATCGTCGATGTTCAAAGTCACCGCATCACCAGCACATAAATGGCAATGGTAACAATACACGAAATTCATTCCAAAGTCGATCACCAATAGCACGTGGCCCGGTTGTTGGAGCAACAACAAAAATTCCAACCTCATCCGCTCAAATATCGGCGAATTGTACAAACGATGCACACGAAATGCAAACACTAATTGTAACGCCGAGCTTAGAGAATATCCAATCGTTGAATGGAAATGGATTGCAAAAGAAGCAAAACAATCAAATAAATGGCATTATTGTGCGCAGCCACAATCATAATAACACAAATGCACATTCCGACAACGATGACGAGAATATTGATTTAAGTCGATGCGGTTTAATTTCATCAACGCCAAAATCAAATAACAAAACAATGAATAACGATCACCTGAAAAATACAAGTACAAATCATGGATCAAACACTGCCAATTCAATCGATTTGCCTTATCAGCGTATCGATCATAATATTGAAGCAGCACTTGGAGCTGATACTGCACCAAATAATATACTCTGTAATGGTTCAATGAAAAACATGCTACCTCCAAATAAATCGGTACATTCCATTCTATATAATAATGAAACTGAAATTCCACCGATAGTAAAACGGTCAATCCAAGATGATAAATCAAAAAGTCTGAAACGTACATCGGCACACAAGTCGAACGTATCGATTTTTGATGATATTCAACAAAGTTTATTACCAGAATCCGCCAATGGAACAGAAAGCAGTTCAGCAAGCACAAGCAGCGGTTCGGTTCCAATGGATCGCATTGCCAATAAAACCAATTGCTTATTTGATTTAAACACATTCGATAATAATGGTACACCGCATTCAATCGTCGAAAATCAGAGATACATGCGGTCGGCCGCTTTGGTTTAGCGCTGGCCACAAAACAATCGAATTGAACAGCTGATACATACAGAACAAAAATGACGCTGTCGACCGCAATGTAACTGTGATATAAATAAGAAATGAGCTTAACAAACAATACGTGATACAGAGGCTCAAATCTTGCGAATTTAGTTGATTAACATGCCATGACCACTAATCGAATTGTGTATACTGACTAATATTGTTTTTTTTTTTTAACTGCACTCGAACACAACGACAACTCAAACAGATCATCAGGATTAATTTGGTGGTGTGAAAATAAATGAGATCAAATGAAAAACGATACCATTTCTATATGAACCTTAGAAAAAATTTGTTCAATTTGATATTTTATTTTCACATACACACATGTATATGTCATTAGAGATAATACTATTTGGTACTTGAGTACCAATATAACGTTTTTTATAATGGAACTTATTATTGAACGTGATGAATTGATCATACATTCATTGAAAAAACTCATATAATTCCATACGTTGACGTTAAACGGGTATCAATTTAGACGTAATTTATGCATAAATCAATTTTAAAATGATAAGTGTTTCATCGTTCACGGTTCATTTTTTTTAAAAGGTAGCATTTGGTTTACGAATTTTGTCGTAAAATCATTTTTTTAAATATAAGTTAATGCGCATTCAGAATGAAAAATGTGTAGCTAACCCCTTTTGGCTATTTAATTTATAAGAAAAAGCATCAATTTGATAGACATTTAAGTATTCACCTTGTAAATATATAAGAATTTGTCATTTTTACCAATTTCGGAAAGCACAGTGGAAAAAGAAAAAAAAAATAACGAAAATTGTGAGTCCAAAGCGACACAATTAGATATCGTTTGGATTCGACATCATTAAGTCAGTATTTGAATACGAAATAATCATAAATTGTAGATCTTTTTTTGTTTCTTTTGCATTCTGTGAATACATATAACTACAAACGGATAGAAGATATACATAGCTTCAGTTTAACTTTAATTTTGAATTTCATCCCATAGCCTGTGTTTTAATAATCGTTTACATTGCAAACATTTATTACATTTTTTTGTTGTTAACAAACTTATTTTTGTCTAATTTTATTTAAACAGATTTAATACAAAAAGTTATTTTATTTCGTTGAAATTGAATTATATAAATGTTTTTTTTTTCTCTTTAATTCATGTATTGAATATCGGGCATCAAATAGAATCGATTAATTGTATTTCTTGAGAGGCTTGGTATTTAAAATATCAACAGTTGTTAATCGAAAAATTCCACAATATTCATTTAACTAAATGGTATTTTTGTTGTTTTAGTTTTCTCCGTCCTCAAACCTCATACCAATTTGTTTCCATAGAATGAACATTTTGTATCGACTGAAAAGAATCTAGAATTTCCTTTTGAAAATTCGTAGAGAAAATATGATGTTCAGTGAATAGCTCAGTTAGTAATAAATTTCTGGATTAAACTAAGGATTAGAATAGATCGTTTCACTCTGATTGCATATTCCGCTCAGATATTGTACAATGACCAATTACATTTTGGCTATGCGGTTTTGCGTCAAATGACGGCATTTTTTTACAATGAAGTTTCATCTTGCAAATATATCGTCGTTCAGCAATTTGAGCTAACCCAATAAAAGCTACAAAGTCGATATGTACCAAAAAGCTAGCTATTGTGAAATATCTTATCCGAATATAATATCAGTGACAGTTATTCTCTGATAAAATAAATAACCCTTCATAATTTGGTTTGTGTCAGAAAAAAAACATTGATTATAGCGCAAATAGTTTCACTGCGTGTACCTGATAAATAACAATATAATCATAAAAATGACATAAAAATTACAACACTCCTTTTCGCTTTTTTAGAAAAACCTTTAACATGCTTGCACACAAAAACAGTATAATTTTAAATCATTGAATTTCTTTTCATTTATTAGAAAAACAAAAATCTAAAATATACTCGCTAACTCAAGGAATGATGAAAGTAACATTTAAAATGGCTTCAAATGGAATTAAATATTCAACATGTTTGACATTTGCACTTGACATATTACATGAATGTTTTATGGACAAAGATTTTACGAATGTTTTTTTTTACAAATTGAAAGTTTTCACATGACAGAATTAAAACAAAGAAAGAAAAGGCTATTCAAACTGTTTTGCAAATGGTGCCTTTAACACATGTACAAAATCTGGAATAGAACAAAATTTTAAGCCAAGTTTTCTGTCAAAAGATAACTCAAACTGTACAACAAGTTATTGTGCTTTATGCTCACTGCTGGATCTTTTTTAAATGGAAATTTTAGTCAACACTGTTAATTGAACAGTTTGTAGAAGAAAAAAACAATCTTGAAGTGAAAATTATCTACAAATTCATCTTTATCCAAAAGAAATCGAAGTCCGTTGCATATACCATTTGATAGATGCTGCAAATACTATAATATTATTAAGAAAGAAAACTGTTATTGATGTAAACTGTACACCTAACCTCATACCAATTCATTGTTGCATGAAAAGAAAATCTTCCTAAACAAACAATAGCCAACATCTATAGCAAAAAATTGAAACACAAAACGGAACCTGAACCTCGATACCTTTGTCCTGTAAATGTAATAACATTATTTTTTTTGTTTATTAAAATAGAGACAAGTAGTTATAGCATTCAAATCCTCCTTGAATTCAACAAACATTTTAAACAAATCATATAGTCATCAAATAGTAATGTTGAATATAAATAAAACAATTGAACCCTTATTGACTAACCAGCTATTTGATGAATCCAAGGTTTTTTCTCGTTGAATTATTGCATTCTATTGTGTGCGTATAAATTTGATTAATAAATTTGTAATAGATAAAAAGAGTAATAGTTACCTTGGCATTGAATACACATGTACAGTATAATTGTGAAAACCCTTCCATTGAACAATGAAAATAAATCCGTAAAACATATAACATTTCACAATAATACCATTGAAACCGAATATTTACATTTGTAGCATTTACAAGCTACCTCAAAACGAAAACAACAAATTATATTTGTTCAGCGTTTACGTTACATTTAGATAAAAATTCAACCTTATTATATTTCAAAGGTGAAAAAACGAGTTTTTATACACAAATTTGATAAGTTAATAAAAAAACAAGGATAAAAATAAAATTCGTTTTTAAGATGTGACATTTGTAATTGTGCGTGAGAAAAAAAAACAAAATTTTAATGAAAAATTCAATAAAAAAAAAACATTTTACATTGATTTTATGAGCGTAAATAAAAATGAGAATAAATGTGCGTTTTATTTACATTTTATTGATCGAATAGCGGATAATATAAGGGATTTTGGTAAGAATTAAACTTTGTAAAGCCAATTAAATATCGGCCAGATACGGATGGACACTTACATGTGTCAATACAAATGGACAGAAGAAAGACAATGTATCTTATTCATAAACCACCAAATTGCAATTGATTCCATTGATTTATGGGACTGAACCAATAGCTTGCTTTTGACGAATGAAATATTTCTTTTAATTAGAGTCTCACTCTTCAGCACTCTGTATCAAGTACATCCACCGCAATAACTGATATTCTATATGCGATTTTTAAACAGCAAATAGATTAGGACATATCATCTTTAGTAACTCATTCTACATTACTTCAAAAGCCAATTCTACGCAAAAAAAAATCAATCAAACTTCATATATTGTAAGTTATTGAAAAACATTGCAAAACAATTGCTGAGTATTTTTAGAGAAAAAAGATCCAAAAGAGAAATATAAAAAAAATGCAAGATAAAAACATATTTTCTTTGACAAACGGTGTAGTTTACATTATCAAACAATCTAAGACCCTTGTATGTCAAACATGGTAAATGCTTATGTCAAATTCTACTGACAGTTTTGTCAGTGACAGGCAAATTACCACACTGAAAACATTGAAAATTCTCCGCCGAAACCATGTGTTTTGAACCGTACATGTGTAGCTATCTCGTTCAACGCTAGTTAGTTGCATGCCATGAGCATACGGATTGTGAATGAAATGAGCGAGATGGATTGAGTCTGTATTTATGTTTTCGTTTTATCAAGTTTGTGAATTCCCATGCGTACGAAAAATTAACTTGTGTTGTTCCTTTACCTTCCCGTATCTATAGCGGAATACACATGTTTGCGACTAGCAACACAATTAATTTTTGAAATATAGTTAAAAACGTGTTATTTTCTTTCGGGATTAAAAAAAAAATAATTGTGTTAATTATTTGTATTTTAACAAAGTGAATTTTCATCGAAATCAATCTTTTTTTTGCTGTATTTTATTGCATTACAATTCTCTCTCCAAAAACATTATAACCATCAAGTGAAAAAAAAAACGTGAGTGATTTTGGGGCGCACGTTTTTTCTCTCAATCATTGATTTTTTGGTTTAATTTTATTTTGTCGTTCTTGATGTAAACTAATCGAAATTTTATTTAAAATTAATTTTTCCAGACGACGATAACAAAATGGTGTCTAAGGTAAAAGCAAATAAGCGTAAGCAACCAGAAGAAGCCACACCATGGTCTGAATTGAAAGAAGGCGTTTTGGCTGCCAATGAAAAGACAAAGCAAGTCAATATTGCACCACCCAATAAAAAGGTATTGGATCAACGCCAAAAAAATTATGAAAAATTCGTGTCGGATGACATCAAAAATAATACAACATTTGATACATTAAAGGATGGTAAATCGAAGAAGAATGCTAAAATTGTGGCAAAGAAACAAGAGAGCAGTGAAGATGATAGCAGCGAAGATGAAGAACAAGTTGTAGCCAAACCAACAGCAATTAAGAACGGTAAGGCAAATGGTAAAGCTGCTGCTGCCGCGAAAGTTGAAGAGAGCTCCGACGAAGATGATTCAGATTCAGACGATGAAGAAGAATCAAAACCAACACCAGCCAAACAAGCTAAAGTAACACCAGCCAAAGCAAACGGCAAAGCTAATGCTGCTGTTGTTGCAGCCGAAGAAAGCAGCGATGAGGCAGATTCCGATGATGAAGAAAATGATTCGGATGAAGATGAAGAGGAAACGAAACCAACTCCAGTCAAACAGAACGGTAAATCCGCTGTGATCAAACAAAATGGCAAAGCAGCTGTGGCAAAAGATAATAGTGATGATGAATCAGATGACGACGACGAAGATGATGACGACGATGATGAAGAAGAAGAACTACCAAAAGCAGCTGCTGTAAATGGTAACGCTTTTTTATTTTTATTTTCATAAACTTATTTCTTTTTGCAACTGCAAAATTACAAAGTTGTTAGATATTTGAACCAAAGATTTGAACGAGCCATTTGAAATCGAACTTTATTTTTGCGATGAGTAAACACATTGTGTTTTTGATTTTGTTGTATTCATTCTCTTTTTTCGTTAAATTTATACCGTCAATTGAGAATTGTCTGAAAATAGATCAAACCATACATTGAACTAACTGGTCAGTTATTGTTTTAATGATGAATCATTTTTATTGTTTTAATAGAAGCGATTGCTCATTATAACAATAACTTCTATTGTTTTAGTCCATTTAGCTGGCTAACGCACTGTCAGCTCAACTGACCAATTAGTTCAATATATTGTCCGAAATGGATCGAACTACATATCCAAATCAAATAGAGTATTAAAGAAGAGTGTCAAAGGTATGTTGTTAAAAAATACGTACCATCAAAGCATGTATTGAAGTCAATTGAAGTATAAAAAAAACTACTTGTTACGTTTTTTATTCAAAGTTATTTGATATGGCTGAAAATATGAAATGGCTCTTCTACAAAACTATTTTCACTATCGCAATAGTGAAGAATACAATTCTACAATATATTTATATACAAGTGAAATAAATGGTCTCACTTCAATTATTGACCCGATTATATTTCATTTCGGTTTTCCACATTTTTTTCACTTCTACTTGTGGTTTTGTCATTTAATATTTTTTTTTTTATTTTTTCACAACATCTGATTTTTTTGAATATTTTTTTTATATTCCCTTTTAATTTTTTTGCGATTTTTTCAATTTCTTTATTCACTTCACTTAAGCCAATTTATGTACAATACTTATGGTACCAATTTTTAAACCATTGCTTATATTTTCACTCTAAAGGCAAGAAAGCTGCTGCGGAAGAAGAGAGCAGCGACGAAGATGATGATGATGATGATGATGATGATGATGATGATGATGACGAGGAGGAATCACCTGTTAAAGCTATTGTTAATAAGAAATCAGCTCCAGTCGCCGCAGCAGAGGAAGATGATTCAGATGAAGCAGACGATGATGATGAACCAGCTGAAGAAGAGCCAATTCAAAAGAAACCAGCCAAAAAACAACAAGCACCGAAGGATGCTAACCCATTCGGAAAGGGAGCCGGAAAACGTAAGGCAAATGACAACAATAACAGTGGACCACAGAATAAATTCGGCAAAAGTGGTGATGGTAACCGTCAAGCAGTGACTTGCTACAATTGCAATGAGACCGGGCACATGTCACGCGAGTGTCCCACGAAAAAGGGTCCAGGTAAATGCTTTAATTGTAATGAAGAAGGTCATATGTCACGTGAGTGTCCTACAAAAAAAGCGGCAGGCAAATGCTATAATTGCAACGAAGAAGGGCATATGTCGCGCGAATGCCCACAAAAGAGACAAGGTGGTGGCAACAGCAATAGCACTTGCTATAATTGTAATGAAACTGGCCATATTTCACGTGAATGCCCACAGAAAAAGGGTGCAAGCAAATGCTTTAAATGCGGCGAAGAAGGTCATATGTCACGTGAATGCCCCAACAAATCCAACGATGAGAGGGTTTGCTTTGGATGCCGGAAATCTGGCCACAATCTTCGTGATTGTCCAACTGGCCAAAAAACTAAAGGCTGCCTAAAATGCGGTTCCGAAGAACATACTTACAGACAATGCACACAAGATGGTGATAAATTCAGTTTTGCCGAATGCTTCGTATGCAAAGAAAAGGTAATGATCAACCATTGAACTTTCATTATTTTTTTTCGGTTCGACTTTATTCTGAACAAATCATGAAAACTGAACGTAAGCAATATACTAATTGAATTTTTTTTTCTCGTATTCAGGGACACATTTCAAATCAATGTCCACAACGACAGGGCGACAAAGGAGGCTTTAAAAAAGGCGGTTTTAATAAAGGAGGTTTTAATAAAGGCGGTTTTAACAAAGGAGGAAACAAAGTTGGCTTCAATAAAGGCGGTGGTGGATTTAATAAATTCAGCAAAGACAATTCAGAACAGTCATCAAACAAAGTGGTTAAATTCGATGAATAGACAATATACAGTGTATATTAGGTGGATTTTTACAATTTACAATTTTTACAATTTATGTATGATTAAGAATTTCCAAAATATCCTATCTTATACATAACCATAACCACCATTCGAATTATTACAATTAAGGTGGTCTTAAAGCCACAAAAATAGGAAAATAATTATAAACTATGTTCAATGTATGGCATAGTTTTTTTAACTTCATAAAGATTGTAATCGACCAACACAAAATGTTTATTGATACCATTTGCCCATTTATTATTTGTTAAACGTCAAAACGTTGAAAGAAAATTGTTAATTTATAAATAATAAATAATGCATCATAATCAACAAAAAGCGTAACTGTATTATTTATATTTAAATGGAATGAGATTTTTCTAGTATCTGGCATGTTAATAAACATTGATATTACACAAGATATGGTACTGTATTGTAAATGCACGAAATCTTGAATCTCCTTACTGCAAAAATGAACGGGTAGTTTTACGTGATGAAATGATGGACAATATTTACACTGCATCAACACAATTTTAATAACTGGACAGTTAAAGTAATCAAAAGCAGCAACTAATAGAATGATGATTTTAGGATTTTTGATACTAATTTTGTAGCAATCATTTAGGTGATACTTGTCACTTTATACCTGTGTATTTTTTATATTTATGATGTCAAAGCAAAGACATATTTCTCGTTGAATTTATCGAATATACAATGGCTAATAATGCAAATGATTGCTCTAGAGTAAAAACAGCATATTAATTAAATTTAAACAGCATTTAAATGGTTGCATATCAAAGCGAAACTACAACAAAAAATCTATGTAAAAAAACCAACCATTCAATATGCTGTTTTTATTCTGGAGCAATCAAATTTCTTTATTCCATATGTAATTTCATATTATTATTTTTTCTAGCTTCAAACAGCATGTGTAAAATACTTCGAAGCGACGTTTTTCTGTGACGCACAGCTTCGTTTTATTTTATGGACTTATTTTCGAAATATTATTAATAGTTTTATTCCGAATTATGTTTAACCTTCATGATTAAGTTTACGTCTACAGTGTATGCTCAACACCGATACTGAATAGCATCGGCAATATATTAACACGACTAAAGAAGTAACGGTAAACAAACCAAATTGAAATGAAAACATTGTAGACATTTAGCTAGAGAATTTGGCAAACAAGCTATATTTTTGTGTCATTCATTAAATTGTACATTTAAAATGTATCATATTTGTAATTAATACATCAATTTATTGTGTCTATTTTATTTTAACTAAAAAAACTTAATTTCTTTTATCCTTTTTTTAATTTTCTTCTTTTATTTTTTCATTGTCAGTTGATTCAGCTTGAGATTTTGCCCGTCGTTGAATCTTAGAAATGCTCTCTGCAACAATAAAACCCGAATATGCCTTACGTCCATCATCATCATTTGTATATGTCATATGCCCAATTCTTCCGCAAATCACCACTCGGTCGCTTTTTGACAAATTATTTTCAATATAGTTGCGAACACCAGAATCAAATGCAAGTACGTGATGGAAAGTGGACTGTCTTTCATTTTCGCCTGTTTCGTTTCTGTGGAGAAAAAGTGATTTGAATGAGTGTCGATAGTAAGTTTTGTTTTAAATCACGCTTACTCCTTTGAAAAATGTGTGACTACGTTAAATGAGCAATCTTTCTCTCTCATTTTAACATCAGTAGCAACGTTGGCGACGATGCTAACGCTGTTTTCATCCCTTTCACCACCACATTCATTTTCCAAATGAAAAATTTTTTCGCCAAAAATAGTCGTTGTAGTGATGGACTTTTCATCGGATAATTTCCGTCCGGTTGATATCAATTTGCCCTGAACAAACACACGCTGACCGGCCGTAAAGTTTGCTTTTGTTTTAACACGAATAGTATGATTCGAACTGAAAAAAAAATGAAAAAAATAATTTTGTCTATTTAAAAAAAATCGTCGAGTGAAGAGTTTCATTAATATAAATCTCACTATCTATCTTCCGTATCAAATGTTTTTACGGTAAATTGCTGAGCTCCAGATTGAAGTTGGTGAGAATCGCTTATTAAAGTTCCCACTATTTTAACCGCATTCAGATCTATAGCGAAAAAAAGGTTTAACATGTTTATTTTTTGAACATAACCTCAATTTATATATGAAAAAAATGATCGATTGAAATCAGCGAAAAATTGATTTAATCGCATTGAAATTTAGTGGAATTCGCAAAAATATATAGTTAGTTACTAAAAAATTTTTTTTTAAAGGAAATAACAGCATTTTTGTTGTATACAATGTGGTATTTGCCGTCAATTTTACCATTAAATAGACGAAATGGGGCTTTGGTGCAAAATCCCGAAGTTATTGTGGAAAAATGGAATACATTTTTAGCTTGAATATGGATCAATCGCAACATTTTTAAGATTTTCAAAAATTATTCACTGTAAATGCTATTTGAAATAAATTTAATTAAAATATTTGGCTGGTCTCTGCAGTTACGTATACGTCCTCGTCCGTATTTTGACAGTTCTGACTCTGTAGTTATGTCAGTGAGTGACAATAACCTATAATCATTTAATTACTCAATTGAAGGTTGACAATAGCTTTTCGTTCTATTTGAAAATGCATCCGTTGCTGCCTCTTCTCAATATTTCCGATAAACAATTGCACTTGAAAGTCAGTGAACACTGATATCCAATTATATTGAATCCATAATGCATTTGAACTTTGAATCTTAAGCTAATATCAATAACTTGCAACGATAAAAAAATGGTCGGGAAGTATATTTGTGCTAAAGTAACAAAAATAGTGACCGAATCTGCGTCTTTCAAAACAAAAACTTTATCGCCAAGAACACACATTGCGGTGATGGACTTTTCATCGGATAATTTCGCTGCGATTGATTTGGATAAAAAATATTTAACTGGTCGTACGTCTCTGTATGTGTTTTGAATATGTAGTTGTAATATCTATCGGTGAGTGTCTATAGCCTAAATGATTTGAAATAAATTCTGGAAGATGGAAAAATGGAATGAACATTATGGATTGAATAAATTTGATGTTGCAATTTTTGTTCAAATTCAAAAGCACTTTGATATTTGGCAGCTTGCTAAATTTTCGTATCAGAAATGTAAGTCGTTAAGCTATGTTCGTGGAGATGAAACCTTCATACATTAAATATAAAAGAAAATATGTGTATAAAATATGCATGTTGAACTATTGAAATGTGTGGACATTGAACATAACGGAAGGATGTTTAAAGGCAGATAGCTCCATCTATTGAAATGCAGATGTCGCCCACTATAATAGCAAACGTCATATGTAAGCCAAGCAGAAAGTCAGGTACATTGAGCAAGTGAGTTAAATTTGTATGGTCGTTTATTTGTTTAATAATTGGTGAGTTTGTCGTAAAAATGCCAAAAGAAGAAGACGAAAGACTTGTGAAGGAATTAGAAGAATTGAAAGAGAGAATTGGCGATGAGTCAATTTCAGAATTAGTTCGAGCTTTAGATTCAATGATTTCAAATACGCCAGATAGTTCTGATTTGACCGAGGAACATTCAACTAATTTAAATTTGGCTTCATCACAGCCTTCTACATCGAATCAAGCACCAAACTCAGAAGACAATGCGATAAGATTGCGTACTGAATGCAAAGTATGTCATACTGTATACAATAATCGGAACAATTTGTACAGACACCAAGGTAAATACGAAGATCAATTCAAATGTTGCATTTGTCGAAAGGAGTTTGGTGATGAACTAAACGAACACACCCAGCGATTTGGAGAAAATTTCATCTGTTGCATATGCAAAAAGAATCGAGAAAGTAAAAATAAAGCGAAATTCAGTGACCATTGTAGTCAATGCCGTAACCGTCGTTCGTTACAATGAACGGCAAAATAAAATATTTTCGTAAGACTATAATCAAAATCATTTTTCTCTGAACAAAAACTACTATAATTTTAATTTTCTTTTTTTCAGTTCGAAAATAATCCAATTTTACAACAGCGAATATAAATCAAATCTCATCATTGAATCCATCATTGGCATCCATCTTCGATTTGTTGAGATTTTCAGCACTGTTCAGCATAGTCGCATTCCACAACACAAATTGTAAAAAAATCTATTATTTGTACAAATTTAATGTGTAAGGTTATGAATAACGAAAAGCACTGCATCATCAATTCGGAAATTTATAATTAGATTATTAAATAACATCGAATGACTATTTTTATTTATTTCAACAAAATATTATTTGCGCCCATTTTGCTATGCTGACACTTTTGTTTTTAATGCAGTAATTCCGATTATTTTTCCGTGCAATCGCTTAATTTCATTTTTTATTATTGCTAAATTGCGTTGTACGCAGTGCCGTCACATAGAAGTGTTCAAATGGTTGAAATAAAAAAAAATCAAAACAAAGCATATGCCGAGATAAATTAGAATTTTATTTAGTTACAAGCCTCAATTAGCTTGACATGAAACAGAATAAATAGATTGATCGACAATTAAATTGTGTTGATACAAACACATGTCTGACTTTGGTACATTTGATTAAATATTATGGTATTATCAACTGTGTGAACACGTGCTCGCGTTGCTCAATCAATTCATAAGAAAGTGCGTTCTTTCAAAAGCACCGTCCAAACTGGCGACAATCAGATCATATGAATGTGCATGTAAATTATTTGTCGCTTTGTGGAGTGAGATTATTTTCGCTTGGTTGAAGTAGCTCGGAGACCGTCGATTCGATCATTTCATGTAAAATGGTTTTCAATGCAAACCAATTTCTGTAAAATTCAATAAATTCAATTAAAAATCCGTAATTCTCCATTTAAAAATTGTTATCAAAAATTGACACCACATACTTTTCCGCTGGATTAGCGCACATCTCCGCATAATATTTGATCTTTGGTTCCGTTCCGCTTGTTCTTAATGTAATAACAGCACCATTTTCATATGTGAATGTAACCATTTGACTGCTTTTACTTGAAGGCAACAACGATTTTCCGTCACTTTGACAGGTATCGATTCCGGTCGTCAAATCACGTACAGTTGCTATGGGATACTTTCCGTTGCACACATGTGCTGGATACTAAAATCAAACGATTTTTACCATTTTGTTGAAAAAAATCTAATTTCAAGCAAATAACTTACGGTGTCTGGAGCATGTTGAAAGTTTCGAATACGTTCAAATATTTTTGTTATAGTTTCCGGTTCATAGCATAAGAAGTATGAGTTGCTTGTGTAATGAAATCCATAGATTTCGTAGAGTTCATTTAATTTGCCGTACAGTGTTTGATTTTTCGTTTTTAGAAACGAAACCAAACTTGCCAAGTGACACGCAGCACTCACACCGTCCTTATCAAGTACAGTGGAGGCAAACATAAAACCGATGGCTTCTTCAAAAGCAAATAAAATCGTTTTGCCCTCCTTGATTAGCTCATGTGATTTATTTCCCATCCATTTGAAACCGGTCAGTGTTTCAATAAAATTGAAACCTTCTGCTTTGGCCATCGCTTTCAACATTTTCGAGCTAACAGTTGATGCTAGCATATAACAATCTTTCAAATCTTTTCCAGGTGATTGCATTTTGTAACACTCCAATGCCCACCAGCCAAGTAACGCGCCCAATTCATTTCCAGTGAAAACATGCCACTCACTGAAAGTTGAAAAAATGAATTAGTTCCGATTTCTCTTAGTTTCGTTCATAAATATCTTCTACCTTTCATTAAATTCAGCACAGGCAAGCCGATCGGCGTCTGGATCGTTGGCCAATATTATGTTGCACTTGGCTTCGTTAGCGAGTTTAAATGATAATGTGAGACTTGATTTTCCTTCTTCTGGATTTGGGAACTTGACAGTTGGGAACTCTGGATCTGGATTGCGCTGTTCCTCGACCGGGAGGAGTGGCTTAAGATTTGCAATTTCCATTGCCTTCTCTACATATCGATATCCAACGCCATGCATTGCTGAATAAACAAATTGCGTGTCACTGTTTACATTGATCTCATTCAAGACAACGCTTGGAATATTTTCCAATAGTTTTTCATAGTACAAATCGAACATTTCACGATATGGATCATTTAAAAGTGGTGAGTTCAAGCTGCTCAAGTCCCATGACGACTGTAACGGTCTAATAGGAAAAATGATCAATAAATTAAAACAAAGTGTGTTAAATACTTTGATGTGCTTGCGTCAGTTACTTACTTCAAATTATCGAGAATGTATGCTTGAATATTTTTATCATGCGGAGAGATAATTTGAGCACCATTATTCCAATAAACTTTGTAGCCGTTATCTTCTTTTGGATTGTGTGACGCTGTCACCATAACGCCGGCAAGTAGATTCATGTGCGATATAGCGAACGGCACAAATGGCGTGGCAACCATTTCACCATATAAATGTACTGGAATGCCTTCGTTGAGGAATACACTGGACGATAGCTCAGCAAAACTGTAAATTTTGATAAGAAAATTGAAAAATTTTAATCAAAATGTTTCATTTTTGCTGCAACGTTGGAGCAAATTGATTACCGTTTGCTGTTATATCGACCATCATAACCAAATACAACACCGTTTGATTGCTGCTGCGATGATGGAAAACACTTTTTAATGTATTTGGCAAGCCCCTGAGCTGTTTGAATTACAACCAAATCATTCATTGCATTATAACCTGCTTGCATTACTCCCCGTAATCCAGCGGTGCCGAATGCCAAGCGCTTCAACAACAACTTATCCAATTTAGCATAGTTGCCTTGCTGTGACAAAGACTCAATTTCAGCACGAGTTTTGGCATTCTAAATATGAGAAAAAAAAAGGAAAAATATGAATTATCTCCTCATAAATCGTAAAAAAATTGCATAAAAATCGACGAAAATTGTACAAAATTCGATTTTAAATTCTAATTTCAACTAAGAAATTGCACAATTTCATTTTAAAAACTCACCTGATCCCATTTAAGCCATTCATCAATTTTTGCTTGCAATTTATCGCAACATTCGCCGGAGTTATTGTTCGTTGGAGCCATTTTCAGTAATTTTCTTCTGTAAAAAATACAAAAAAAAACATAAAATTTTTAACATGGATTTTACAAAACGTTTACTTACTTCAAATGTTCTAATACAACTGAAACAATAAACTGTGTAAATAAGCATGATTGTTATCTGTTATCTCTTTGAAACAACAAAAAAAAACACTCTTGACTATAACTAACAAGCAAATAGATGGTTTCAAAGTCGTAATCAATTTTATTGTGACCTGTGGTGCATTTGAGTTCATATATTTACTAATAATTTCTATAAATAGTTCAATTCTATTGAACCGAATACAATGAATCAAGTGGTCTGGCAATATCGATGACGAATTGCTTACATTGTGCGTAGTACAGAGTATAATAGCGAAAATGGAACGTGATGTTTTCAAAAATAAACATTCAAAACACCGAAGGGTTCATGACATTTGAAAATTTATCAGCTGTCGCTTTCAACATAACACGCACGGAATTTTCTGAACATCGTTATCATCACTTTTGTTCCTTTTGCAAAATCATTTAAAATTTAATCACGTCGCAGCTGGAGAGATTTATGCTATGATATTTTGAGTCAATAAAAAAGAATTGCAGTGAAATTATGCGTGGCATGCGGTTCCATTGAAGCTTGTCGTTAAAAAAAACGAAGACGAATTATTCCAATGTTGAATTGCGTGAATTAATAATGTGAATGTTTGACTTTAATGACTGTGCTCTTCCAAGGGCGTCGATGTTCATTTTAATGTGTTTAATTTGCCATTTTTCCGCATTCCTTATCAAAACTATTTCGTTGACGATATGAGGAATGGAAAATAAGGAAAAAAAACAACAACAACATTGACGTGCGAATACTTATCACCATTGTTTATTGACGTTATTCGTTCACTCTCATTATATACCATTTGATGATAACGAACAAAAGCATTAGAAATTTGTGATTAACTTTTCCAATAAGTTGTCGCTTCATTAATTCTCGAATGCTGTTTTTCTGGTTGTGCTGAAGCAATGTTGTCAGCACAAGTTAATAATTTGCTCGATTGATGAAAGCAATGGGCGATGGTAAATAACATTTCATTCGCCTGATGTATTCGTTTAAATGAAACCATGTACGTACAATTCATCTCATAAAATCAGATTTGCGTCTCTGGTCATCAAGCAAAAAGCCAATTTATGGCAGTTGTAATTTAATGCGTAATAAAATTTTGAAATGGTACAGAACATTTGACAACAAACTTTCTTGTTTCGAAAGTGAACGCAATTCGATGAGTAAAATGTAACATGTCGCCAAATGAAACCAGCAATTACGAAAAAAAGAACGGCACACAAATAACCATGAATAATAAATAATGGTGAATGAAATGAGTTTTTTGTGGCCGCCAGAAAATGCAAATGAACAGCAAAATTTTCATTGTCATTGTTTTTCGGTGTGAATATTTATTTTCCAAAGTGTCACCTCTTATCCACTGTTCACTTTATCAAAACGGAAGAGTTTACAAATGCCAACACCCACCACATTAATTTGTATGAATTATTTGAATCGAAATTGGTTAAACATCGTTCGACGATAAATCAGCGCACATCGAGCATACGACAATTCTGTCGTGAGACTGAGGTGGCTGGTGTATGACACAGAAAAACAAAATGTTAACAGTGGCCCGGCATGCAATACGAACAAAAACATTATATATACTATACTAGATGATTAAATGGATAGTAGTACGCCATACGGAAGCAAAACAATTGTAAATGCAATGCGAATAGAGGAAAGAACAGAAAATATAAAGAAAATTATGACACATGCGCTGTACACAATTTGTACCGCGAATGAATTGCACAAACACACACAAACACACCCAGTGAAAGCGAAGTGTTCTGTCTGGAATAGTAAGCTTTTTGCAAATATTTCAAACTGTATCAACACACTCTCTCTCACACACACACTAACACAATCAGACCGAGTGTGGTGGTTAAGCTTTGCTAGTGTATTTGTCGAATTTGATATATTATTACTTTAAAAGCTACTGTGTGTATGGCTTGCATTTAATTCTTAGTCGTCAGCACTCATCAGTCATTCGGAATACGTTCGCTGAGTCCGAAGCTCACTAAAGTTGTTAGTCTCTCTTATAAATTTGCTCTGCTTGGATAAATTTTCCTCATTTAATGTACTATTAACGAGTTCACAAACAACAGCATTACCGACAAATTCAAACACACACATTCACAACACCCAAAACATTGGGCATATTCTATATTTCTGTTGCAAAATGTTCTATTGTTTATAACTGTGACATTTTTGGTTGTTATCTGCAGTGAAATAAATAATGTGATATTTTTGTTAATAGCGAAATTTGTATTGATTAAATTAGCGCACATAGCGAGAGAGAGAGAGAGAGAGCGAGAGTTCTCAACGAGGCGAATGAGAAACACAAAGAGTATGTGTATAGCGTACGTTTATCATAAATAGAACGCCAGATGTATTTAAATAGGATTTCATGAATTAGGGTGTAAAATATCAAACGAAAAAGGAACAGAAAAAAATATTTGCAGACGTTTTTCTTTCTCATTGTGTTAATATTTTTCCGTAGTGTGTGTGTGTATGTGTGAGGAAAATAAAATCGAGAAAGAGTTGGGCGGTTCATTGTTTGGTTTCAATTTTTGTGATAGTGAAATTTCCGTTTTTCTTTGGAATTTCCACTTCATAGCACATAGCATATTCTTTTTAATGGTATAGCGCGTTTCTAATAAAGCCTGTTGATTGTTCTCAGCGTACAAACAGTGTGATATGGTGGTGATGATGCGGGCGACGTGAATCATTTTGATGTTATAGGAAAAGCACCAACAACAACCAAAAAAAAAACTGCTCAACAACAAAAGCTATTACTATCATACGTGTAAATAGTCGAAAAAAAGGGAATTACGACAGACATTCAAAAAATAGAAAAGGAACGAGGATAGAAAAAGAACACAATAGAACATATGATGTGTTGAAACAAAAGATCCTATGAAAATAGGGAAATGAAAAGTTAAGTGATGAATATTGAAAATGAAAGCGCACACAAAGGCATGTTGTGAAATAATTTGCATGCATAGAAATTAGGTCAGATATTAGTTTAAAAAAAAAATTGTGGTGGCAAACCGAGCGAAGTGCAGAAAAGACAGCAAAATATAGCGAAAACAAATAGAAGAGGAGGCACGCAGAGCACATAATATAACCATATTAGCACAACAAGGGTGATAGAGTAAAATTTTATACGCAGTGAAGTGGTTAAAATTTATTGGATGCAATTCTAGCGATATTGGCGACACCAAGAAAACGCTTTATAGACTATATCGGCGACAACGACGATTCACACGCTCATAAAATTATAATAATCATATAAAAAAAGAAGCATCGGCAACGAGATGGTGGACGAATTAGCGTGCATTGCAGACGACGATGATTTTGCATCGTTAAAGCGTTTAGTTGATACAGACGATGGTTGGACGCTTGAAGTATGTAAAGCAAATACATTGGTTTGGACACGTACAGTGCCTGGTTGCAATTTTCAAATGGTTAAAATAAACTCGCGATTTGAAGACATCGATCCAGATTGTGTGTTCGATGTATTGCTCGATCCAGACTATCGCAAAGAATGGGATACACACATGTTGGAAAGTTTTGATATTGGCAATTTTAATGTGAACAACGACGTCGGATACTATGCAAGTGAGTTTTAATTTTATATTATTATTATTTTTTTGCTTCCTTTATACTTCGTGCATTCAATTAATATTCATAAATGTTGAAAGTTAAGTTTTACTCTGACTGCGCTAAAAACTTTGTTACTTCATTTTATATAGTGTCTTGCCCACCGCCATTAAAGCCTCGAGACTTTATTTTGTTGCGGTCATGGTTGGATACAGGACCAAGGGGTGAACAAATGCTTCTATCGCGTTCCATCATGCACAAGGATTATCCGCCAAAAAAGGGATTCGTACGGTATGTTTACTTTGGTTGTATGCTTTGCATATTTTACTTTGCGTAAATGTATTTGTTCATGCCAATTCGTGCAACATTTACTCTCATTTATATTAAAACTATAAATTTTCATCTGGATTTAGGGCTGTTTCGCACATAACTGGATTTGTCATACGCCAACAAACACGTGGCGGTTGCCGTGTTGGTTATCTAGCACATTGCGATCCACAAGGCACTTTACCACCTTGGCTTGTTAATAAAGTAACACATTCGTTGGGACCACGTATGGTTAAGGATTTACGAAAGGCGGCATTGGGTTACAAAAAATGGAAAAATGCACAAACACATCAACGTAAACCGTGGCGCTTCCCAGAGGAAATTATTACTCCTCGTATTTCTGTGTTGGATGTAAGTTGTTCAAATATTACTTTCACCTTGTGATTTTCTGTCAGTGAATGTGGACCACTTTTGATATAACTATTCAAAAAAGAAATTCAATCGACAAGCTCTCGTTTTTCTCTCTCTCTCTTTTTTTTACTCTACTTTTTCATCTTTCAGTGTCAAATTCCTGAATCATTTATAAATAGTAGAAAAAATAGCGCCATCGAATCGTTGCCAAGTTCACAATCGACATCGTCATCAACAAAACCAGAAGAGCGACGCAAGAAACGCGGTGGAAGCCTGCGAAAATTTCACCGTATGCTACCGAAACTACCAACCGATAAATAAAGGCATCGCACATCACTTGATTCTTGATTCAGAATAAAAATGGTTATTGGCATCATTGAATTTATGATTTGTTGATTTCAGCAGCACCAGAAGCATCCAAAACCTTTCAAAATTTCTTTTTGCGCTTCATGCTCTGAAAAACTTTTTATTCGATCTGGTAATTGAGTAAAAAAAAAGAATCTGCTTGAGTGACGGAAAATTTGGCGCTATATCTCATATATCATATTTTTTTGGGCAATTGCAAAAATATTGTCGATTACTTTGCATACGTATACTTTTGCAATGAATAATGCATGAGCGCACAAGGTAAATAATAAGCTAAAACATACCAAAACACACACAAATACAGAGATACACAATACAGCAGCAACTGGGTCTATCATTCCGGTTGCGGAGATTTGACATCAGCCAAAGCACACATTTGTCGAACATGAAATGTGAAATATGGATTCATTATTCTTCATCTTCAATTCATCATCAACATAATCAACGACTCTGTATAGAATTGCTTGAACAATTTGTATCAATCCATTTGCATATATTTCAGGAATCGGATACCTCATATACATGGCTGCAGGCGATTCAAACGAATTTGCATTCAGAAAATGGAATTTCTTTTTTATTCGTCTGTTTATGCCGCTTTTATGCGGTTTTTATCTTTGGAAAATGGTCAGATTTTAATGAGATTTATTCGATTGGCGTGCGGTTCATTATTGCATCAGAAAACCGCTTTTGAATAAATCAAAAGCGAATACTAATGAAACATTTGTTGGCATTTAACAAAGATTATAGACATCTTAAATGTTTGCTGTTTTCTCAATCAATATCATGACATAGAGTCTATTTAGCGATGCATAGCTTTTCAATAAAGTTAATGATTTGAAAGTTGGGTGAAACAATGATGATTTGAACACACAAGTACAGTTTTTTCCGGTTGTGTAAAATAAAAACAAATATCAATGATCAATCTCATTTGAAATTCTAAGGTGTATATTAACAATTTATATTAATTACTATAATTATAGACCTTAAGTAAAGTTGTTGTTTTTTGTTTTTTGTTTTTTGCCAATATCAATATATATGTATACCTATATTAATGAAATTCAGGTTCTATCAACTGCTATTTTCTGTATATCTGTATCTGTACTGTGTCGAATACCAATGACTTTATTAACGATAAAACAGGGTCTCTGTGAACAAAACCCATGTGCACAAAACACATTACTTGTCTCATGGAACATCATAAAACCTTTTTAGTCTATTTTTCGCTATCTCTCTTTCTATCGAAAAATACATTTCAGTAGATAAAAAAATAGAATCCAGAGAGATTGAGAAAAAGAGAAATCAATTCATCAATGCGCCTTTTCTTCCCCTTTTTCCACTTACTCTCAATTTTCTACGATATTTTTAAACTTCATCTAATTTTAAATGATGAAATCAACATAAAATTGAATCTATCAAAAAAAATGAAAACAATTGGCTGTCATTAGTATCTACAAAAAAATATATGAATATTTGAAGGAGAGAAAAAAAACATAAAATTCATCATCCAAAGAGTAATTTATCAAATTGAACAATAATAAACAGATGCATTGGCCTAGGTGTATTTTTATTGAAATAAATAGTTAAAATTCCATATTTATTATTATGAAAGTTGCTTCCATATATATTTATATTAAATTTGCGTAAAACTCGCACATAAATAATCATAATTTTATTCAAATATGTTTGTGAAAATTGAAGCAAGCATCAGCAGCGATAGCAACACCATTTGTGCAGCATTTAAATGGAATTTTTAAGTTAGCTGGGAGTCACAGTGTGTGCAAGGACTCGGTGTGTTATCCATCTCTATAAATGATTTAACGAATGTAATGAAATGTTGAAAGTGTTCCCACCGGGGAATTTCTTTTTCGATGGATAGAGACACATTAATCAAAGTTATTCTAGATAATATTTAGCTGTTTAGTTCGTTTCCCTGGGAATACACGGGAAAATATTTGTTTTATGGAATTATATTTTTTCTTTCGTTGGCTGAAAATATATTCCTTTGAACTTCAAAAATTCGAAAAAAGTATATGCGAATCAAAGACAACAACATCATTAGTATTAGTGTGCTTCCAAAAACAAACATATTTTTTACCATCCATTGATGCCAATACAGAAGATTTTACCGAAATTTCCTATTTCCAACCATTCCATATAAGCGTTATGCTAAATATTAACTGTTCATATTCTATATAATTTTTGTTTTTAAATTAATAGTCACATTTCATTAATCGAATTACTCCACAGAAGTTTTGCATTTAATTACAATTTTCATGAATATTTTATATCCATAACACGTTCGTATTCAGTTTCATTGCCATTCCCTCTATCATCCCAAACAGCGCCTCTTTTCTCACATTTGAGCTTCATTTTAGTACCACAACGAATGACGAAAGCACAATAACGACTACGAAGCTCAATCGAATTTGTAATGAAAATCTTAATTGTTTTTAATTTGATGACAAAAAAATAACTAAAAACAAATTTAAACAAAACAAATGTTGTTCTCTGATATTAACAACTATATTATATATATCATCAAGTAGCATTTAAGATTTTAAAGAAGCCAAGAGCATAAAAAACTAAAAGAAAGTGACATGATTCAGAGATATATATATAAAAAAACAATCAATTAATTTAAACAGATGAAAGATTTAATTGAAAATTTGATGAAATAAAGATCTGTAGAGAATGAACGGGAAGTAGAGGAATGATAATCACATTCCGTTTGGAATCCAGGTCAATCTCACAGAGAAGAATAGAATATATATTGTACGATATAGCTGATATCAAATCAGATGAGTTGTTGAAATAAAATTATGCGTGTTAAATATATTGTTGAATTTATTTATTGAATGCCATCCAATTCGTTGTGGTCCGATCAACGAGAATGCATTGATAGAAGTGTCAAACTCAATTGACAAGCGATAATTCATCAAATATTGATAGTGGTAATATTCGGATTGGTTCTGTCGAAATATCGATGTAACGAAGATAAAAAAAATGGTAAAATTGTAAGTAGTACCAATATGCACAGTGTACACATCTTGAGTTATGCGAAATAAGCGTGTATGTGCATTGTGCACCGCTGAGATCGAAAATGTGAAGATTGGATTTCTAAAACATTTACGTCTTTTCTTCAAATGTTCCTGAAATTGGTCGAGATTTACTACTACTCATCTCAAGATTCAATGTCGCCTATTACGGTGCAGTGATTGTACTAAAATCATTGTATCCCATTTCATTGTTTGTATTGACTATTGAGTAATTGATGTAAGTAATGCGTTCATAAACAAATTATTAGTTAATATAATGAAAAAGTAATTAGATCTGGTCCAACTTACATACGATCAAAGGCTCAATTTCAAATTGATGAGTAGCATCATTCTAGCATATTAACTATTACAAATGAACTGCACCGCATTCAATTGGAATAGAAAATGCTCAATATGGAAAAATGATTGAATTGATGCTATTTCGTTAAATCCTTGCAAATGAATGACGTTTATTTCAATGAAATGAATATGTTGATTGATTGCACATACATTCCAAGAATAAAAAAAATTAATAATCATATCAATCGAAAATCGATTTTATCGGTGCCGTAAAAATGTGGTTCTTTTTTGTTGTTGCCGTTGTTGTTGAAGGACTTGATGAATTGCGTTCTCGTTTATAAATAATTATTTCGACACTGTTTGCTTTCAGGTGTGTAATGGTGAATGGCCTGTCGGCAAAAAAAGTGGTCTTCACCGTCCAAATACACGCATACGCAATTAATAAACAATCTTCAGTAAACAATTGATGAGTTTAATAGCGCTATGAATATTGTATAACCACCTCATTTATCATCTTATTACTGCACAGAGCAAATAAATTGGGGGAACTTCTGTTGATCGAACAAAAACACGGTTTGGGCGGAAAATATTTTTCAAAATAAGAACTCTTGTTTTACTTGTCCATTTTTCTGGTACATGGAAAAAGTATATGTTTACTGAACAAATTGGCAAACTTACTTGAAGCAGTAAATAAACAGAAAACCATTCACACAAAAAAAAATCGAAGCTTTTCTTTCTACAATAAAAAAGTAAACACATAATTTCACCTCGAATGCTGAAAATTCTTTGGACGAATTTTATTTTTACGACTAGCTTAAATTCCGTGTATACGTCATTTGAAGCACCAAACAAGAAACTGAATGGATGTATTTTGATGGAAATAACGTGTATAAATATCATAATAATTTATGGATATTTACATAAACAAATTGCGGATTGGAAATAAAAACAAACATATGCTATTTGTATTTTGCTCTGTGCTTGAGAATAACTCCTTTGACAGCAACCACTTTTCGTTGGTGTTTGTCAAAAAGAGACTGCTGCACACACCTTTAACACAAAGCACACAGACTACACGCGAAAAACGGAGAAAAGCGTATTTATTTTACATCGACTTTGACTGCATTAAAAAGCACTGTCTGGCGATCAGAGCCACTCAGTCGTGTATAGATTATTCGATTGGATTGTAAATATTATAAAATTTTGTTTTCTGTCTTAAAATATTGGCTACTTTTTTACGCAAATTCATTTTAAATTTTATTTTCACACGTTTTTCATTTAATAAATTTACGTTTAAAAGCATAGTAAGTAAGAGCACAGTTTTACCAATTCTATCCAGTTGAAACGTGAACGTGTTGAAACATCCAGTGCATGCAGGAGTGTTACGAAATCAAGCTGTACGAAAATAAATGGTCAAAAAAATGTGCAGATTTGCACAACTGTCAATGGATGCAGAGTACTGTATACACTGTACTGTGACTTGTTGTTTCTATGGTGACCGCTAAAAAAACAAACGTGGCGCAAAAGAAGTAGTTCAAGTTTAATTGTCAAAAATCATATGATTTCAATAATTAATGAAGTGCTTAGTCATACGTCCATTTCATATTCGCAATGAAATGAGAAAATTTTTTATAGAAAATGTCGTTTTGTTGCGATTTATAATTTAAATGTTTAACATTTTTTAATTAATTTTTTTTTATGACAATGATTATTCGAATCGTAAATGATTTGAGCTAAAGATTAGATTAGATAAAATTCGAATTGTAATGTGTTCGTAATCGCGTCCGAATGCACTATTCTGATAAGATTCAATAGAATAATCGTAAGCCACGTTTAATAAAATAAGTACCCGTTGACTATAGATACGACGTTAATCAAGGTAGAATCCATGCTATTTAAACGATTGAGATCTTACAACAGCCGTTTATTTGAGCTATTTTTTCATCACAAAAATTCAATTGTGCTACGACTGATTGTCTACATTCAATTAAATAACAGCGTGCAAATTAAATCTATCGTTCATCGAATCAATTCGTTTACGGAAACGGAACAATTTCCATCGTAAACACTGGTCAGTGTGATTGTGCATTCGATTCAGTTTTTGAATTTTTTCGCTCAATTTCCAAGTGGAAAAAAAATGGAAAATTTTGATGAGAATGAGAACGCATACGATAAAGATGAAGTGCATGCAATATCATATAGTTGCATAATGGCACCAAATCGTTGTACGAAACGATTTTTGAACATCAGCGATACAATTATTGCCATAGTCATCGTGACGCCATTAGTTGTTTCTTTCTGGTACGGTACGTGGAGTTTTATGGATACATTTTCAGAATATTTCCCAGCGATACCAACACTTTTGTGTGGTTCAGTTTGGAATATGTTTATTGTATTATCAAGACATCACGTTTACGAAAAAGTTAAAACACCACATTTACGCGAAAAAACAATTAAGCAAAAGATCGGCAGATATATATTCACCAAGCTTTTCATTTACGTGTTCAGCATAACATGCATTATGGTTTTTCGGGCAATTTTCCTGCTATGCGCTCCATACGGTAGGAAAATATTCTGCAATTTTCACATATAAAATAGATACATTAATTTCATTCTTGTCACTCGATTCATTAAAGGGCCAAAATTGAATTTCAAAACCCTTTCTCCATTCATTTCATTGAATTAAATTTTTAACATTGTAACTTTTCCAAATAAAATTCAATTTCTCGAACCTTTTAATAACTTGTTGACCTTTTTGAAATGCGTTTTTTCTTGCACAGATGTCGGTTTTATTCCTGCTTCCTTGATGATGATAGTGTGCGGAAGTGTGTTGGTTTGTCTCAAGTCTATTAAAAATATTATAGCGCCGCCGATGGCAATTGCAACTGATTGCAAAGAAGTATCGTTTGCGTTTCCCACTCGGTTTAAGACACACGTGAGTATCCACTTTATTTAGTTTTATTTTTTTCTTCTTCAATCGTGTTTCGATTTTCTTTGCGCTCGGAGTAACGACTTGACAAGTACCACAGACACTGAATTGGAGAAGTGAGATGTTCGACAGACAGCACAATAGCGAATGCAACATGTTGATAAAAAGAATTTCGTTAATCGTTGCTTCTTGAATTCAAAGTTTGTTTATATAATTTGGTCTGCTTTTACAAGTGTTTTGTCTGCCTTCTGTTGTATTATTACTGCTAACGTGTCATCAGTTTGTCGTGGTGGGCAACATGATCAAAATGGCTATAATCATTGCAATCATCATCAGTAAAAAAACACAAACGTTATGTACACCGTAAGAAATCATATCATCATCATTATTGTTATTTATTTGCTGGACTCTATGTGCGGCATTTATTATCAATGACGCTGGACGATAGAATGTGTACCGTTTCGCATTGTATGTATTTTTTTGAAATCGGATCAGACTCATTGTCAGAGTTATGAGATTGGATAAGGTAGTATTTGTGTGTTTCGATCTTTTTGTATTTATTTTTTTTCTCGCATGGGCTCTATCAAAGAAACGAATTCAAGCTGGACTGTGAATTTGTCGGGCGCGCGCTTACACACACAAACACAAACACATAGATAATAATTTTCAGCCATCATAATCGCATTGATTCGTATCAGCTTAACGAGACTAGTGAGTAGTCGCGCAACAACAGAGCAGATCGCCAGTAGTTTATTGCTCTGAAGATCGCCAAGATAATCGGAATTGCTCCAAAATCGAAACGTAAAAACATATTCAAAATACTGCTTTGTTATTTTGTTCAATTTGTTAAATTGACTGAGTATTTGAAAATATCGGATTTTGTCGCGAGATTAACGGTAATCAAAGGTGAAAATGAACAATAAGTTGTAAAAAACAACAGCATAATAAGATATATATTTTTTTTCGAATGTTTTTATTGATTGAAGGTGATGATAATAAATTCGGACGTTTATTGTAAAGCATTGAATCTGTTCTGAATCAGAGAACTGCGTTGAAGAGGAAAAAAATATATCGTTTGATCGTGGGTGTAATGCAAAGAGTGAAAATCATTATTTTATAAAATGTGGCCAGAACTAAAATTACGTTTTACTTTGAATTCAGCACAAAATTGCGTATGAATAGAAGAATATTGCTCGACGCGCTTGTATGTAGCGGAAAATCAAAATTTTGTTTTGTCTGTATTTATTATGGAGTATATTGAGATCACCGAATGAATTACAGCGACTATTTCGTTCAAAAGTGTTTTGTTTGTTCAAAAGAGAAGTGTTTCTTGAGTGGCTCCTAGTAGAGCGTATTCGTCAACAGCGCGGACGACGACAACTACAAAGAATAAATACGATCGCTTGTATACAACCAACAATAATTTGTCAACTAGTTATCCCAATTAATATGAGTTTGCGTTGCAAGATCCACCGAGCCAAGTGTTTCTATCGCTTTGTGTTGATTTTTTTTTGTTTAAATTGAATTCTCTGAAAGTTCTTTGTTAAATTGAATTTCATTTCAAGAGGAAATACAATTCAAATAGTCAAAAATGAACATGATCTCGTGCGCGTGTCCCAATCACATTTCAGATCGTTTCGTGCGATTATTTATTTGATAAAGACACAGTTTCAGCCGAAAAAAAATTCCAATCACTTTTGATAATAAATTATATTATAGAAGCTTTCATAATCCTGATTTCTATCGCAGTCCTTGACTGTCGATTTTCAACGCCTGTGCAACATTTCATTATCGTCTATGCCTTAGACAAAATAGAAAAAAATCGACCACGTCTATCAATATTGAAGAAGCCTGATAAGTGTCTATCATCGATTAAATCTATAGGCGGGACACAAACAGAAGCTTTAAAGCGTGTACATACATTTATTTTGGAATATTTCTTATCGCGTGCTTATCACGGAAATAGTTTTAATTTTAAAAGTTTTTGTTTTCTTCTTTATTCAAAAAAAAAAAGTTCCACTTCTAGACGTTCCCTTTGTTTTCTTAACAAATGAATCGAATTTTTGTAAATAACGTGCATTACAAAACCTCTGCCTTTTATCACCAAAACGTCACATCAACTGAATTATTTTGTTTATGTTTAATGCAATCTCGAATGCGACTCATCCGAATGAATCAAAATATTTGTGTGTAATGTTGTGTCAAAAAGAAGGAAATTTGTTAATTAAATATTTTGTCGTTCGCGAAACAAATCAATTGACATTTTTTTGCATGCGTTCGTTGATAATTGAGTGCATGTTATAATGTTATCAGTTGCTTGTTTATTAACAAAATTTTAAGAAAGAGTTCTCCATTGATGATTGGTTCAGTAGATTTTGTGAGTCTTTTATTTTTTCAATAATGTCAGATAATTTTCTCGATCAATCTTAATGAATATACGTGAATGTGTTTGTCTTATCAATAAACTATAAAAGATTGTGTTTTGAATCCACTTCGAGTAATATCAGATATCTACTGAAGAGCTGCTCATTCGGCTGAAAGTTGTCAGAAGGGACACACAAATTACGTAGCTCTCCACAATAATTAATTTACCTTCAACTTCCACTGCATTTATCCGGATTTTTGTTTTGACGTAATGTCGCGATTGCTTGAGTAAAGTTCAAACGAAAGAAGCGATTGACTTCGAATGCGTCGACAAAATTAATTTGAAATTGAGAAACGATAGTGAAAACCACTGATGAAATTACAAAATGGTAATAGCTGTCGAAAAAATACTCGTAATAATAGTGTAAAAATCTATTCGAATAAGTTGCACGGAGAGCGGCTGTACATTCCAAACACAAATTATAATATTCAAAGAAGAAAAGTGAAGAAAAAGAAAAGAAACGTATATTAAAGAAAGAAAAATGCGGGGAAGTACAGCTGGCTTAACTGAAGGAACAGTAGAATCACGGCATTCTATCTATGATGCATTCCTTGTGCTGCTCGATGTTTTATTTTCATCGGTGATTGCAGCCCCCGTCGTCATTGCCTATTGGAGAGGAGCGTGGAATTTAATGCAGTATATATTTTATCCGCACAATCCAACGGCAAGCGCACTTGTTACCACATTCATAGGAATAATTGGACATTTTATATTTTTCTACTGCCAAAATTGGCTTAGCCGCACATTCAATCCAGATAAACATCGCTTGACATTTATGATTGTTTCTCGTATTTACACTGCCATTTATGGATTCGTTTGTATATCCGCATGGCGCGGGCCGTGGGCGCTTTTGGACTTGTATAGTGAATCGCGTATATGGACTTTAATTATAGTCACCGTTATTTGCATCGTTCTTTTAGTATTTTGTAAAGGTTTACGCAATATTTCATCAACGCCGTTCGGTGTGTCAACTGATCATTCGAAGGATTATTTCGTTACTCCGACCATGTTTAAGTCGTCAGTAAGTGAAACGAACACAAACAAAAAATCGAAAATTTTCAAAAATTTCATTGAATGCTTAAAAAATATTGAAACGAAGGTTGAATTGATTAACTTAAAATGAGTAAAACGAGATTTTTCATTTTATGTACTTCACTTTCAGGCATCAAAAGAACCAGCATTCTATTTTATAGATTGTGCATTTTCTGTGATTGTGATCGGTACTTTGGTGGTATTGGTGTGGAGAAGCCTTTGGGTTATATTCGATTTGCTCATATTCCCACGCGAACAAACACTATCGGCTTGGTATTCATTGGTAAGTGACGGAAATGAACTTTTGTGCGTGTATTTAGAATTTGCCACGACGTTATTATTTCCATGCATTTCAAATTGAGTTATATCAAGTGCAATTTAATCGGAATTATTTCGCTGCTTTTTTTAAATCTTATCATTCAAATTCAATCATTTTGAGCCATCAAACAATTGTTTGTTAAGTGGCTTTTTGATTTTCTTTGTCAGCGAATTAGCTTTAAATTTACAAATAATGGTACACCAGTCTTCAATATAATCAGAAATGGTTATTTTGATCTTTTGACCGAGTATTCTAAATTTTTGATTTGACACACTTAAAAAACCATAAACTTTCCATTTCAAAGTGCATTCAATTGATAAACAATAAAATCGTTATTTTCCCATGGGCAAATAATAAATGATAACATTTTTTAGGCAATTGGCTACGGAATAGTCGCAATTACATTTGCACTTCAGCCACTTATGAAATTGGCGTGTGATCGTTTGACTGGACTTTGGAGGATAGCTGCATGTGATGCGTTCTTATTTTTCAGCTTCGTTGGTACGGTGAATGTGTGGCGAGGTGTTTGGCAATTGCTTGATCTTCACCTTTTCCCAGGTACAACATACAATAAAATTATGTTTTTAGCTAAAACTTATAAAATCATTTAAAATATGAATAAAATGCAACCCTCAACTATAGTATCGAAAACGTTTTCACCAATAACATTTCATTCTCATTTTTCGTACACAGAAAATCCTGTGATGAGCAATTTACTATGCCATGGTGTTTCGTTTTTCTTTTTGGCCATGCTAAATTGTTCGAATTCGGTATTGGTTCGTGGTGTTTTCATCGATGCTGAAGAGCCAATGGGACAATGCGTCATTTTTCCCGTTTATTATATTCGATTATTTGTCCAAAAAGAGCGCACCAAAAAGCAACGTAGAATTCTTGACGCTCTGGAAAAGGGTGATTTACAAACGGAACTTTTGGAAAAATCCGAAAAAAACACACCAAAAATTGTGAAAAGCTCGGCGAAATCAATTGAAATGACCAATATGGCAAATATTAAGCCGACCAAAATTGAAAATGGCTATGAAAAGGAAAATTATCCAAATGGTGAACATAAAATCGGTCAATAGTTTTTTTTTTAATTTACAAAGTAACAATCACATCGAAGAAGAAAAAATATTGTGATAGGAAAAAAACCGGTGTGTGTCTTTCATTGGGCAATTGAATAATAATAATAATTGTTGCCAAGTGCTAGATTCATGTGATGTCCCCAATTAAAACGTTGTGATATTTGATTGATAAAAAAAATAATCGCTCTATGGTTAGTGTTCGAAATGAGAATTTTAAAAACTAAATCAAATTAATCAAAATTATTAGTACTTAACAAATATAAATCTAAACAACGAAAATGAAACTAAATGATGATTCTTCTCGAATATTTCGAGAGTGAGACTAATTGATCAATAATATGGAGGTTGTTAAATGCTTCAATATTAAGTAGCTTGTTTATATATAAAAAAATTATAGTTAGTGAATCTAATCAAAACGAAATCCTTCCTGCTCAAATTGAATGAACACACTTCAGTCACCCAACACAATACACTTCTATTGTAAATAAGACTTGAAAACACAAACAAACACACGCAAAATTTCTCAATAAGTTGAATTTTAAGATACTAAAAACATATAACTTCCCATTGTTGGGTGACAACTGGTAACATTCAAAATGCTAACGAATTTTATCTTAATATATAATCAAAATTTCTACACTCTATGTTTTTTTTTTCTCGGAATATTTCATATCATAATATCTATATAAGTATCAAATTTTCTTCCCTTTTCAAATGTAAATAACTCTTCTAATCATATAATATTTTGCACTATGTATAAATAAAACTAATGAACAACATTTTTATTTCAATGCAAATCAAAGTGCCATTCCGCTGTTTCGAAATTACAATAAAAAAAAAGTGAAACATATCCATATGCCAATAATAAATGAAATTTAAGATTAATGTAAAGAATAAAGTGAATAAATATTTTAATATCAAATTTAAAATGCAAACAAATGTAAATGAGCATATGCATGTTATGAATAAAAAGCATTATTTTTTTACATTACACCAATTATTTGATTCAAAAATTTGAAAGTCCTTTGCCCCACTGGATCATGATGCACGAAAAATACGCATGTCAAATGATTCGCATACATCCTTCGATAAATCCTTTTACCTTCACTAAGAATGATATTTAAACCATTTTGTGGAACCTTTTTTCTAATAAAAAAATACCAGATTGGATTATAGATTCAATATTCTTGGATGATCGTCAAAATCTTGCCATGAATTGAAAATCACGGCATGCACAGATGGGTATATGGAACTGAAATTCACAATTCATGTTTTATTATGGTAGCATGTATGTATGTACACGGTAAAGTTAACCAGGCAATATATTGAATTAACTGGTCAGTTGAGCTGACAGTACGTTAGCCAGCTAAATGGGCTAAAACAATAGACGTTATTGTTTTAATGATGAATCACTTTTCTTGTTTTAATAGAAGTGATTGTTCATTAAAACAATAACTTCTATTGTTTTAGTCCATTTAGCTGGCTAACGTAATGTCAGCTCAAATGACCAGTTAGTTCAATATATTGTCTGAAGTTAACCATGGGATATAAGACTCTTTTAATATTTCCGGACGCGGATAAAATCATCTGACACCTACACACACGTACAGATGTACATCAATTCAAATGGAATTTTTATTCGACAACAAAAACAAATCGTGATTGCATTGAACAATAGAGAAAGTCTGTCATGTTCCAGGTCATTTGGTATACGAGTGAGAATGTTTTGCATTCAACATATATTCTGAATGGCAAAAGCACAATTCAATGCCATTTCACAAAGACGAATATGAATGCATACTAACGGTGATGCTCTATAGCTTCATTTATTCTCAATGAAGGCGAAAAAAGGTGGACGGTTTTGTTGTGCCATTTATTTAAGGGAAATACTTATATATTTGTGATAGCATTCATGGTTTCTGGGGTGAGGGGGAGAAATTAGTCCAATAATCAACGATTGTGGAAATATTAATTCTGATTATTAAATTAATGAAATTTTAGCGAACCAACGAAAAATATAAATGTTCTGGTCACATTTTATGGACATTTTATTTACAGTTCATGTGTTTAATGGAATAGAAGTTAAAGGTCAACAAAACCAGTGATATTTAAATTTGAATAAAATTGTGAAGCGACGAACAGTGTGAAATCGGTGTTGAAAGAATTTGACGAAAAAAAAATAAAATAAAGATGCGTGGCAGTACGGCTGGATTGGCGGAAGGTACTATTGTGTCGCCGGATACGGTGCATGCCGCTTTCTTAATGTTTTTAGATGTGATGTTTTCATCATTATTGGCCGCTCCAGCCGTCATTGCATACTGGAGAGGCACTTGGAATTTAATCGAGATTTTTTTATTTCCCAACGATGCGCTATTGAGTGCGTTTAGTTCATGCTTCATTGGTACAATAGGTCACTTTGTATTTTACTATTATCAAAGACGGTTCAGTCAAAGTTTCCATCCGGACAAGCATCGCATTACATTCATGATAATCTCACGAATGTATACGGCCATTTATGGTGTTGTTTGTGTAAATGGTTGGCGCGGTGGATGGTCATTAATGGACTTATTCATTCCGAAAAAGGTTCATACATATTTTGCCATCCTAATGATAAGCTGCATTCTTTTGGCATTTTGTAAGGGTCTACGTAATATATCCGCATCACCGCTCGCAATATCAACCGATCATTCCAAGGATTACTTTACTGTTCCGACAATGTTTAAAGCATCGGTAAGGACAAACAAAATCGAAACAAAAGTAATAGGCATATTATCGAATATTGCGAATATTTCCTTTGAAAACCAATTTCACAATCAATTTGGAAGAATTTAAGGTATTTCCAAATGATTTAATCATATGTTGTTACTGCAATTTCCTTTCAGCCGATTAGTGATCCCGGCTTTTACTTTATGGATTGTACATTTTCCGTGCTAATCATTGGCACACTGGTTGTATTTGTGTGGAGAAGTATGTTTGCATTGTGCGATTTACTCATCTATCCAAGCGATGAGAGCTTATCAGCTTGGTATTCGTTGGTAAGACATATATTTTATTTCGTCTTTGTTCTATTTATTCATTGGATTCATTTATTCGGTCTAAGTTTCATGCAGTTTCCGCAAGTGTGACTTTATTGAACCGTAGTTCTTTGCACTCATCACAAATTTCACATGTACATTCTCAATTTGAATTAAGTGATTAAGTTGAAATTTTTCTATTGTTGTCACTGTAGTCAGCCAGTGTCAGTTACATAAGCAACACAATTCAACATTCATCTGTTGAAATATCTATGAAATATTTGGCATGTATATAACTCTATTATTTCAGTAAGACATTATATGACACTGACACGATTTACATACTTGATTCAGTTACACCGAACATCGTTTAATCGAAAATTATCCAATCCACACAGCAAACGCATACATTTAGCAAGTTAAGTGAATTTGTGTTGTGGTAGCTTACGGATAGAATTGAATGTTTTTTTTTGCTTTGCTTTTGTTAATCAAATTGACGTATATTAATAAATCGTACGCTATTCTTTATCAATCAGTGCACGCAATTTTTGGTCTCTCGACTCACTTAATCGAAAGCATCTTGTCACATTTGCTCGAGTGTGAAGTGCAAAAATGTTAACATTGTTATTGTTTGTTTGGTTGAACAGACGCTCGGATATGGAATTATAGCCGTAACATTTGGTCTCCAACCGTTGTTAAAGTGGGCATGTGACTATTTAACGGGATTTTGGCGATTGGCTGTTGCCGATGTGTTTCTTTTTCTTGGCTTTGTTGGCACGGCGAACGTGTGGCGCAGTGTTTGGTCTTTGCTCGATATATATTTTCTACCAGGTAGGAGATTATACTTTCTAAAAATTACTATGACATTTTTCTCCTCTGTGACCGAATACAATGTTGAAAATACCCAAATGTATGGTTTAATACATACTCAACGTGACATTAAACATACGTAAAATAGCAATTACCTTTGAAATCATATGTATAAAACATGTTTTAACACTCCCTTAATGATAACCAAACATGATTTTCCTTTTTCGTGTTTTTCTTTCTCTTTCTCTCGCTCTCTTTCATACAGATGAAGTGCTCATCAGTAACTTAATAACGCACGGTGTTTCAATAGTCTTCTTGGCGATGCTAAACTGTTCGAATTCGGTGCTAGTACGAGGAGTTTACATTGATGCTGAAGAGACGGGCGGTCAATGCGTCATTTTTCCCGTCTATTATATTCGATTATATTTTCAAAAAGAACGAACTAAAAAACAGCGACGACAACTTGACGCTGAAAAAGGCCAACAAACTGAATTATTGGAGACATGCGAAAAGAGCCCAGCACAAATTGTGAAAAATGTGAACGGTGACCATAAAATTGTCACATAGAACTTATTCCAGTTCATTTATTAGCTTTACACGATTTTGGAATTAAAATGAGATGAAACTGTCGTGACCTAACAACTCTAAAAACGTTATTATTGTTGTGATACTTGGCTTTTTTTTGATCGATTGCTTTGAATTTGTTTCGAATTAAACTGCTCGAGAAATTACACTTTCGATTTTCAATTTAAAAAAGAAAAAGAAAACAAGCAAAATCAAACACAAATCACATGTTCGAATTTGGTTTATAGTACTTAACGGCAATTGGATTTGGTAATAAACAGAAAAAAAAAAACAATTTAAAAATTTATACGAGCAGTTCGATGGCAAGTTCAAACATCGCATATTTTTCTATCTCGAATATTTCGAGACCGCACGGGATTTAACTAGTCGATCCATAGAATCAAATTGAAAATCTTTACACTCACTAATCAAGAGTAAGAAAAATGCTGTGAGTATTTGGCTCATTTTTAAGGATTTTTTTTTCTGCCCAAAAATCAATAACGAGAGTTTTTTCCCTTAATCGTAGTATATTTATTTATACCAAATGAATTCATCTCCAAGTTTACAGGGTTTATTTTGTGTCCTCAATGTATAGTAGATATTAATGCATTTTGACCGCAACAGTATTCAAAGTTATAAGCAAGTCATTTAGTTATACAATATTTACGAATTTCAAGCATGTTCAAAATCAATTGAGAGAATTTGGTTTAAGTTCTATCAAAATTGTTGACTAAATATTTAAGATATTATCGATAGATTGAAATAAAACAAAAATTCTTCTATGAATCTCAATTCAGTGACTATATAATTTTTTTGACTGACCGAATCCAGCTTGTGTGTTTGTTTAGACATCAAATCGTTCGACGCTTGTGTTTCCGATTACTTTTGGCTTGTATCTATTTGCAGTAGTGTAGTTTGAAATTGAAATGGCCATGTAGTTTTAATTCAATGATAGAGCCATCGAAAAGATCTCTTGCTGTGCAACCAAATGGAATAATGTCATCAGCTTTGAAGTGCTTATCAACCATTTCGTATCCATTTTTGTTCCATTATCAAACATAGTCTGCACTGTTTTACAATCAATAGCGACAAACTCATCATGATCATCATGTGTGCCACATACAAATAGCTCACGGTGCAGATATGTAAAAACGGTCGATTTTATTGAGAGAAGAACACCGTCACATCATAATGTGATGGCATGAATCGAAAAATGGGCAGCTATTGAACGAAACACCGACAAAGTTTTTATTAAATCAGGTCTAATTCATTTGGAATTTATTTCAGTGTGGCCGCAATTTTCAAGTCATTTAAATTATCATCAAATGTCCCATTAATTAATTCTTAATCGCTCATAATAGCTCATCCGCTATTCGTTTTAATGTTCGACGTGAGCGCGAGAAAAATTTCATTTTGACCCAGAATTGTATTGGTCTCTCTCTCTCTCTCTCTCTCTATCTGTCGTTTACCTTTTCGAGTGCAAGCGGGATGTTTATTCTTCCGGTGTTTTGAAGGAGTTCACATTGTGACATTGCATTGAAAGCTAACGAATCTTAATGATATATCAATGCGCATTAAACACATCTGCTCTTATAGAACGCCATCAATGAATTTCGTTTTTATGTGATTAAAATCGAATGAGACGTGTCGTTGTTCATTTTGTAAATTAATGTACATCGAAGCCAAAAAAAGAAAAACTAAGTATTCGTCATGATTGGTTCGGTTAGCGAATTGCTAACAAAATGGCACGAAGATATTTTTAAACTCAAATTCGTTTCGATTAAATATCACACAACATCAACGAGTTTCTGTGACAACCTTTATTGATACCGATTGCAAGCGCATCAGTACAATTCAACTCGTTGAACAAGTGCAAATTAATTCTTAATTGTTAAGCGAATAAAACGGTTTTGTGATAGAAAGATTTTTGTTCGAGAAATTTCGCGGAACATTTTTGATCAGAATATTTCAATTTTTCTTATCGGAATTTATAGATAAAGCTTGTAGAAATTGCAATTGAAGTGAAAAAGCAGTAAAATTTAATTAAATAACGATGGGTGTTCCAGATAACAATACCATGTTGGTACAAGTGGATTTTGAAGTATTTGGACATGTTCAAGGTGAGAATTTTGATGCAATTTTCTCCATTTTTTACACGAACCAAATCGCATCATTTCAAAGCAAATTTTTTTTTTTTTTTTGAAACTGAAATCAAAATTGCGAAAATTTTCAATTAAATTAGAATGGTCTAACCTTGAGCTATTGTATTGCAAAATGCGTGAGTTCTCAAAATTAGTACAGTATTATTGTTGCGAATGTGCTTTATTTAGCTGAGAAAGTATAAAACACTGCAAACGCTTTAGCAACAAGCGATTAAATGTACGCATTTAAATTTACTTGGTTCATGTGACTATCGTCAACTGAATGAAAATGTATAATAAAAACAAAATTCTCTCACGTATTTGGGATAATCTTATTTTATTCACGTTCTATGCGTTGGTTGTTGGTAAAGAAAAGTGATGATGTGATTCTTTTGTAATTTTCCTTATCAAGTGTTGACAATTCGCTATTCAACGCTCTCAATGGCACATAGTTTAAATACCACAATCCAGCAAATACATTTAGCTCATTTAATTGCTTTGCTTATAATTAGAAGAAAAACTCCTTATCAATGACAATGACTAGTTCATTATAAAACTCATTTGTTTACACAATGACGACGATTAATATTTCCTGCCTGTTTTTTTTCTGTTTATTTAACTATGTGTATGTGCTTATTCCACAGGTTGTTCATTTACAAAATGCGCACGCGAAAAAGCCGATTCACTCTCTATTACCGGATGGGTCAAAAACTCAAAGGCTGGCACTATTATGGGAAAAATGCAAGGGACCAAAGGAAACGTTGAAATCATGTAAGCAATGCATCATTTAATTAACAAGTCATTTTCATGACATTGAAAATTTTGTTAAAATTTGTCAACTGTTACATGGCATACTCTTGAATTCATTTCAAAACACGCCAATTGGAAGAAGAGTCATATTTTTCAATTGAAAATAAACTGACCGGAAAGTGCTGCTTGAAAAAATCAATCAAATGTCATCAATTTTATCAATCGATTTATCGGAGTCATTCATAAAGTAGCAACCATAAAACACACCAAATGCAAGTACATGAGACTTTCTTATTTGACGGCCATTGTTTGAATAGTTGCCACTTTCTTTTCAAAACTTTGCCAAAAAATGTAAGGCCTGGCATTTATTTCTCATATTTTTCACGTTTATGCAATGACAATTGTTATGTTGAATTGTACATTCATCGAATGCCTGCATAACAGTGACAAATAGAAACACACATACATATGAACAGGTTTTTGCGCCGCAATTTTCGTTCATCCGAACCAAACATTACGATACAATGAGGAAATTACGTTTGATATTTATTCAACGCTAATTTTTCACAAATAAGTTCAAGTTCAGTGTAGTGCGGCTGTTTTTTTTTTCATAATTTAACGCCACATATATCTCATTGAAATTGAAGCAACATCAACAAAAAAATCAAGACAAATTGTTTTTGACTTTCTTTTTGTTTTAGTTTCCTTCTTCAAATCACATTATATTTATTTATTGTTACAGGATTTCGTGGTTGCGAAATGAAGGATCGCCAGGTTGTAAAATTGAGAAATTAGAACTGACCAACCCCAAGAATTTGTCACGATACGATTATCCCAATTTTGCCATTCGATTTTAAGCAAATAATTTTTACACTACATCCTATATTGTCACCCAATACCGTACCACTCTACCGATTAGGATTTTTATTTCGTATGTTTTAAGTTAAAACGATGTTTACAAACTTTTCTCAATATATTTAATAAATCATTAATATACTTGCCAACTTATGAAAAATTCACCTTTTTTTTCTTTCTTAACTATGTCTACACTTGTTCTTTATTATTGTTTTCGCTCGTTGACTCATGCGATTTTTCACACAAGTTGACATGAAAATCACACCGAATTTTTCTATCTCTCGAAACTTCTGTCGACACAGATTTCGGATATTTTTCTTTCTTTTTTCGTTGTTTTTTTTTTGAACAACTTACCGGTTTTGAATGCTTTAGCTCTGTGTTTATAGACTTGCAAATTAATTCAATTATCACACAATGAAAGCACCTTCGGCATCCAAAAATACACTTATTCGAATCAAATTGTTATAGAACATATACAATATCTCTTGAAATGATGCCGAAATGTTTATCACTTTAGCTAGTTGTGTTTTCTTTGTTTGACAGCGTCAATTGTGTCTCAGTACTTGTACAAGTACGCATTAACACACCGAGAACAGATGGTCACATACACGCATTTTATGAAAACACAAGAAAAAGAGAAGAAGAATATCGCTTACATATTACTTAATATGTTCGCTTCTTTTAATACACGTAATATAATATGTAAACAAATGATATTTAGATGACAAGATAGCACTATGAACGCGCTCGTTTTTCTTGAAAGCGTATGACAGTGACATTCATAGTTTCACCGGTGGCCATCAGAGGGATTTTTCCATTGTTAGTCAAACATTGACATCGCTGCTATAAACAATTTATTTCTATTCCATTTAATAAAAAATCTTTGAAATTTTCTCATTTTTTGATATTTTTGTGCAAAAATTCGTAGTTAAAATGTCACACAGTCCACTGGACAAGATTCAAGCATTGGATGCCATTGAAAAAGAGATTATAACGTGTTTACAGAGCGCAGGTAAGCCTTTTGATGTTTTGCGGATGATGCGCAATTCAAAAGTTTAACTTAAATAAAACATTGTATTTCTTGTCAATTTGAAGGTCAATCGTTTCAAGAGCTTGGAAAAGAAAAAACCAGCCAAAAAGCGGTGGAAAATAATACACAACAATTTCTCAAATCGTTGAATATCATTGAGACAAAATTGTCAGAGCAAATTAATTATCTAACACAAGTGTCGACTGGACAACCGCACGAAGGATCTGGTTATGCATCGGCAAAAGTATTACAGATGGCATGGCATCGAATTCAACACTGTCGATCTCGTGTTCGTGAATTAGACGAATCGAAAAATAAGTATGTACAAGCAGCTGCACGGCAACAACGACAACAACAAGGAACCGCACCGGTTGCATCCGGTCAACCCACTCCACCACCAAGTGTACCGCCAAGTACTACACCAGAAACCGCAGTCACTCCAACAATGATATCAGCACCAAGTCCAGTCACTTCAGCCACAACACCAACGACAACCCCATCATAATTCATTATTCCATTGAACGAAAATTATTTCAAATGAATATTAGTATACATGTCTATTATTTGGATCTTAGAGTTTAAGAAAGAAAACTAAGATGAAGAAAAAAAACCTGAAATTAAATTCCATTTATCCAAAAAAATTAATAAAATTTTGATTTTAATATACTTTTCACATTTTGGTTGTTATTTTTTTCATATTGAATAGAATTTTCATCGGTTATGAACTTAGAAAATATCCATTTGTCAAGTTGAAAAAGAAAAATTGTCATTTTTATATACAAAAATTAAATGCAATTAGCGACAAAGAGCCACACTGAAAGAGTTTTCAAATTTCCAGATAAATTATAAAATACAAAAAATCTGTGCATTACAATCCTGCTATTGCACTGCCAGTCTGTGCTACGACCAAATAAAAGAATTATTTTATTTTTAATTTTAATTTACTTTATTGACATTTTACGTCCAAACAATTTGTTGCTTAAATAATTATTTTTCATTCCTTTTTTTCAAAAAATTTATATCTTCACCGTATGATAAATTTTATCGTTAAATGACAAGGCAAATATAGAATTAAATGTATAGATATTCGAAATGTTGAGGTTGAGTGTGGAATAGAATTGCAATTAAAAAAAAATGAATACGACAGTATAAATAATAGTTGACTTAAAATTCTATGCGCCAGTAATTTCTTCCATTTTGATTTCACTTGAATCAGATGATTCGTCAGCCGTTGTGGGCGTTTCAAGTGAGCTCAGTAGCGCTGCATCTGGATTTGTCAGTAGATTAATATCGTCATGAATGTGAATTTCTTCAGTTTTAATTTCAGTGCTAATCAGCTCTGCGGGCGGTTTCGGTTGTGTTACCATGATTGTATTTGATGTTGATGGAATAGCTGACAAATCCTGTGATTCACCTTTAATATACAGAATATCTTGTGTTGATGTATGCGGTTGAGCTTGAACCATTGTTATCTGTTTTACTGGAATGCCGGCCTCTTCAAATGCTTTTTTCTTTAATGTTTGCTTTATTTGTGATCTGAAATCGAACGATAAGATTTAAATTCTTGGCAATTAAACAGCATGAATTAAATGCCAGAAGGACAGATGAAGAAACTTACACAGTCCGCCCTTTGATTCGTAAACTGATTTGATTTAAATCATCGCAAAAATGTGTGATCGCGTTTCGCAACATGTCAATTTCCTCATCTGACCATTTACTCCTTAAATCAAAATGTTTTTTTTTTTTTTTGAATTAGGAACAAACACAACTAAAATCGAATGCCAAAAATTTACCCCGCTGGTGAGTCAGCTGTTGGATGGAGCTGCATTGTCAATTCACCGAGCCGATTGAAAGCAGCACTAAAAAAAACAAATTTTTAGTTTTGAATAAAAAAGTTTGTTATTTTAGCTAAATTGTTGATAATTACCCTGCTTGTGCAAAAATTTCGCCAACCTGCAAAACATAACCAAAAATTCATATTTAAGATAACAAATCGTATTTACCGAAAATATTCTGTGTACAAAAAATATGAGCAATGAATTTATTGTAACACTCAATTTTATTAGAACTTACCTTTGTAGCAGAATTCATTGTTTCGTTTATTAAATAGTGGATTTATTGTTTTAGCGCCTTCAAAAACTTTCTGCGGCTTCTATTATATTATTTACTGCGTCAATGTACGGCATTAAATGTCAAAACTACGTAGTACCCGATGTCATGTGAGACAGAGAAACAAAGCACCGTGTAAACGCACATATTTTTTTGACAAGTAAACAGTCAGAGTGTGATAATAATATACAAACACACGTGCGATTTCTTATTGAAATTCAAAGATTTGGATTGGAAAAATTATTTGTGAAAAGAAAAAAGAGTTATTTTTGTTGAAAAAATGGCATTGCCGAATCCATTTCAAAATTCAACTTTATCGTCACCTGTTTTGAGCTCAACGCCAAAGGTGACAAACAATGAAAAAAGTTTTCTTCCTGGCTACCGCAGCAATTTCGACATCAATCAACAAAAGGCAGAATATCATCAGCGAATGAGCCAACAAGCATCTCAAAAACCACAATTCAATCGAAATCAACCGCAAAAAAATATCCAAACTGAAAAATCAAATACACCATCGAATAATTGGTGCCATTTATGTGACTGTAATTTTAAGTATCCGCAACAATTGCAAAGACACAAAGATGAGCATGAAAAATGTTGGTTTGACGATTGCAATTTTGAAGGTAGTTCAATGTTGTTGAAGCAACACATTGAGACTCAGCATCAAAGTGGTTTGTTCCAGCGAATTAGTAAAATTGAAACGGATGAAGATATTGAGAAATGGCGTGAAGAACGGAGAAAGCGTTACCCGACCAAAGCCAACATTGAATTACGACGTTTAGCACAAGAGGAGCGAATGAAACGAGGTGAACGCATTCAAGAGCCAAATCATCGGTTCGGCAATGTGCAACATCGTAAACAACGATCATTCACAGAAAATGATTCAATGAACAATCATAGAACGAAGAAAAACGATAAAAAACGTCACCGAACACGAAATAAGAATAAAAGTGACGAGAAAATAGCAAATGACAAAAATGGACAACAAACAACAACCGTGCCAGCAAAAAAAACTGAAACAGTGAAATCAGAAATGGTCGGTAATAATAATGCATCGGCCACAGAACAACGTCCGGTTGAACCAAAAGAGAAAACAGTGCCAACAACGAATGCGTTGTCTGCAATTATGGGCATTTATGGTTCAGATTCAGACTGTGATGATGACGATGATAACAACAAAGACAATGACAACGTTGAAGCGACAACGTCTGTGAATAATGTGCCAGCAAATAAACAAGAAGAACAAGTTAACAACATAACTGAACATGTTACAGCAGCAAGTGATCCAATTTCAGAAGCCGTTGAATCGGATAAATACAACGATGCTGATGAATCAACGAAAAATATGAGGCGCAAACGAGATGCTGTTTTTACTGAAGATAAATTACCAATAAAACAATTTAAATCAATCGATTCGAGCGTGCCGAGTGAATCAATTGACCAAAAACCCAACGATAATGAATCGGATGACGATGATGGTGCTCCGGAAGAACAACCCATTCAACGATGCTCAAACGATGGACAGGATATTGTTGCTGGACCAAGCAGAATTCGACCACAAGAAACCAAGAAAACTGATGCAAAATCGACACCAGCGATTATGATGAAGAAGAAAACAATTGTGGATATGACCAGAAAAATTCGCAACCAAAATACTCTACTGGAGAAACTATTGCAAAAAGAAATTCGACATGAACGAAATGTTTTATTGCAATGCGTTCGTTATGTTGTTGAAAATAACTTTTTTGGAATTGGACAAAAGACCGATGAACAAAATGAACAAAATAAACAAAATGATGATTCTTGAAAATGTATTTCTTTATAAAATTAATTAAACAAACAAAATTTATGTTCACAAATTGTTTTTTTTTTTCTTCTTATTATTATTGTTAACTGTTATTATATTCTCATTATTCAAGCAAATACAATTTTAATCGTTTTCTATAAATATTTATACGGAAAGAAATCGTCAAGTTTTTTTTCTGTGCTTTCAGCTCGAAAATACACAATTTAAACACGTTTTCGATAAAAACAAATTTTTCTCTTCCATTTGGTGGGATCACTTTCATAAATGATATCCAATTGCTCTTTACATTTTAAATAATTTTTTATGTTGTCTTCGACCTCGTTTCGTATTTTCAGCGTTTTAAATAAAGGGAATGTATCTTGAGCTCCGGCTCTTTTCATTCGACGAACAGCGTTCTGATAACATTTCCACGGTTGGGGTTCTATGACCAAAATTTCGCTCAATTTTGCCATGAGTGTTAAAAAACTCTCCAGTCCATCGTCTCCGTTATTCAAGTGAATCCACATTGTTATTGAAAAGCAACAAACTACATCAAACTGGCACTTTTTATATGATTTCAAATGATTTGCTATGCAATTCTCTTCACTATTGTATTCCATAACATTGAACGATGAATAGAAAACGTTTTCTTTATATTGATTAGCGTCATTAGCCCGACCAATTAAAGCTTGATCAATGTCAACTCCCAAAATAATTATTTTGCGTCTCGATTTCTTCATCACCAAAAATTCATACAGTAGCTGTGTAAAATTCCCCGCATTACAGCCAACGTCTAATACCAAGAATGGATCTTGTGTTTCATCCGACGATGTTGTCCAGAGCTCTTCAGTCAGTGGCAATAAATCACGACGCTCTGGTGCCGAATTGAAATCATAATAATTTATGAAATTTCCATATCGAACAGCGCCCGGTTCAACAAAATCTTCCATAACAAGTTTGTTCGAGTTATTGATAGAATGAGAGCACGTTATTCACTGTTTACAAAATGAGATTGAGTTTGACATAAGCAATGCGACACTTCCAAAAAAAGAACTACTCCGTAGTTTTATGAGTTCATCGTCGATTAATGGGTCATGTACGTGCTTAGTGCGTGGAAAAATACGAAAGAGGTCTCTGTCTTCCATCAGGATACTTTTCGATATCATTCGTTCACATATAAATGAAATTTCAATCAAATTTACGAAAATTCAATAATTTTGATTCGATTTATAGTAATTTAATGAAAATTAACTGATTTCTCTTCATTCGAATGATTAGTGTACCCAGACACATAAAAATCGGTCAAAAGCTCTACGAGTGTGTTTGTGTAATTCATGTGTGGCACATTGCATGCATGTTGACCACAAAAATGCGATATATAAATTGCTTACTAAAAATGTACCAATTTTTTTATTGCTGCCATTGCTGCTCATCATTCAATCGACGATTCGAAATAGAAGCGAACGTAAAAAAAAAGATTTCAAATAAATGAAAATGGGAGAAAATAGAAATATGCGAATTAAATCCGCATTTATGTTTTATATTGAATTCGTTTCGTAGCAAAGCGTAAGTGATTGTGGTCTCAATAGATTGAAACCATTCTTCTTTTCCGATGATGATGAGAGAGAGAGAGAGAGAGAGAGAGAAAACTGCACAATTCATAGATGCACAATTCGAACGCAAAACGAAGACACGATGTTAGAGCTACTAGAAGAAGATGAAAAAAAAAACGTTTGCCCTATAAGTGCAATCTTGCACAGTTACTGGTTACTGCAGCATGTGCACTAGTACTGTTCATCATCATCATCAATAGCAGCAGCAACAGCGTCAATGGCAGCATCGGTCTTCATAATATTCTCGGCAAAGCAATTACACTCATTTTTCGATGCTATGAAATTAGAGTTGTGTTTTTTGATTCAAAGCGCGCGAACCATAATCGTAATTTTTTCGGTGATTGTATTTTGTCTTTCTCTCTATGCGGCTCTTTGTAATTATGTGTGCACGCGATATACTGCTAATAAATAATATGCTGTAGCGAAGAAAAAAAAGAACTGTGCACAAGTCAAAACAAGAGAAAAAAGAAATCATTTATTCACGCATTATCGTTGCAACTGGACCAAATCTAAACATTGAAGTTGTAATGTGTACATGTTTTGTGTTGAATGTGATATATAGAAGAAAAAAAAGCAAATGATGAAGAAAAAATTGGCGCGAAGAGTTAAGATTGCCACATCAAACTGATGCAGAAGAAATTGTGAATATAAAGTTGGTTTGCTTATTTGTTTCTTTTACGCTATCAAATTCATTCGCTTTAACACTCGATTAAAGATGCACAAGCCAACCGCGATTGCAAACGCCAAATGTAGGCAAATTGCGAAAGTTCGTGCGCGTTATTATGTGTATTTATGCGATTTGTTTGTAAGCGCAGATGCAAGCGCTCGCATTGAAATCTAATCGGTGAATCGACAGTAAAACGATGAAAAAAGCAAAAACTGCTCATTGGATTCGGTTCGTGAGCGCCTCATCAGCTCTAGTTTTTATTCTTCGTCTATCTCGTTCTTTTATGCATTTTCTGCTGATGTCGAAGCAGATTTTTAGTGCGTACCAAAAATGTTCTAAATATCCCTTTCTACGGTTCTTTTGCTCTGTGCTCCACTGTTCTACATTTATTTGTGAGCGCCATCATTTCTCTGTCTGTTGCCCATTTTCCCGTTTTTCTATATGTGCTCTCTCTGTGTGCTCTTTTTTTTCCTACCATACTCTCAGTACTGTATGCGTTCGTATTCGCGACAAAACTTGTTCGCAAACACTTTCACTCGAACACAAATGTGATGTTTTGATTTTGTCGCATGCGTTTTTTATTTTCAACTACAGCATTGCACATTGACGGTAGATAATGCCGTCACCGTTGTAAATGAACATAAAAAGGCTGCAAGCAACAAAAAATGACTGTCACATCCTGAAAGCGAGAGAGAAAAAAACGACATATTTGGTCAATCGCACACGCATTTTCCATTTTAAACTAGCACACGAACGCGAAAATCGTTGACCACGAAATAACATTTTAAAACATTTCATTATCAGAGAGGCGAACGTTAATCGCAGGGTCAAAGCTACTCTTGTATCCATGGATGAAAATATTCTATATCTCTCGGGTGCGTTTTTTTTTCGAAGTTCTCTTTTTGCCATGGTGATTATTTTTTTTGTTCGATTTCGTCATTTAGTTTTTGGTTGATGTGCGTACGACAAAATCCTCATTATGCAAACATGTCGAGTTGATAGTATGGGTTTGCCGGTATAAATTGAACTTGAAATGAAACGCGCCGTCACATGCAATGAAAATCGATTTTTGCTTCAGTTTTTTTCTGTTATGTTTGTACAAAGAATGAACTTTTGATTTGAGTTCAGTGTTTTTTTTTTGTATTCTGGCTGCGATTAGTTTGGTTCATCGAATTCAGATTCGAAGAGTTTAAGCCCCTCAAGCGTCGGCGTCGGTGGCGGCGGCGAGACATTATTTGATGATATTACACGTTGTGGAATGTAAATAAAAACAAGAGAAAAAAATTGTTTTTCGTCTATTTGATTTGAAGATATTTAGTTTTTGGTATTTTATATTCAAAAAGGGGCATCCACTTCGACTCGTACCAACACCGTGTAAAAAATTTACAACGCGGAGAAAAAACGCATTTTGTGTGTATTTTTTTTGTGTCTTCTGAATATAGCTCAGATTGTGTTAAATGGTAATTATGTTAAAAACAAACACGCACAGCCTGAATATAGCTCCGGTGTATCGATCTGATTGATGGAAAAAGTATAAAATATGAATGCAAAAAATTTAGATCATTAGCCACCGTGATGAGTACGCACACATGCTTAATTCTGATTGAGTGTGAGAGATGAGTAGATGGAAGCGTAAATATGTAACGGTGTTGTTTTTTTTCTCTTTATTCTCTTTATGACTGCACGCAAATATGATCTCTTAATTCCTTTATTGAACAGATCTGTTTACTGCCGCAGCCAATTCACGAGCAGCTCGTAAAAACACATATATCTTGTTAAAACCACATCTCGTAGGTGTGAGACGTCTGTGTATGTGTTTGTTGTTGTCGATATTTTCTTTGCTCTCCATATATCGTATCCATAAAAAGTGGATTAATTTGTAGAAACAAAAACAAAGTCTTCAGATATGTGGCCGTTTGTTTATTCGTTGGCTCACGGTACGTGCCAAAAAGACCACCGAAAACTTTGGCGAACAATGAGAATCACCAAACCGTAAAATTCATAATTAGTTTTCCAAATGTAATAAAAAGAAATTATTAATAAGTCGTATTAGAGACGATTGCTTATGCGCGTGTAAGCGCGTGCGCTCGTGCAAATGTGCGTTTGTGTGTTGATTTTCGTTGTTGGACATGATCATTTGTGTTTTGCGTTCATTCGTATATTATTGTTGTTGTTGCTGCTGCTGGTGCTGCTGTTTTTTATACCGTCTTTATATTTGTTGTTGTTATCTATCGCATATTTTTCTTTCCTCTCTTTTGATCGACACGATGTGTTCGCGTACTGTTGCGGTTGCATCGCGATATAGAAACTGCGCTATGCTGCACCAGAGAGCCGAGTGATTGTTACAGATTGCACTTTTTGGAATGGTGTTTGTGCGAATGCGCACGTAATTTATGCATGAAATTAACTCGAATACGAAAACCAAGCAGAGCACATAGACGCATTTAAAAGCAGAAAATTGCGGTGGCTGATCTTCAGTTGTAATCGGTCAAACACAAGTGCAACACATATCTCCACCTGTAGATTTGTTTGTTTGCTTGTCTCTCGCAAATTCTCCCGCTGGCTTCTTGTTTTTCTATGTTCGCCTCGTTTGTGCGGTGTCTTCAATATATCCAAAGTTTAAATAACAAATAATTTTCAAAAAAAAAAAAACCGGAATACCCTGTGTGATTTTGTGGTGATCAATCGACGAGAGAGATTTCGCGATAATCAAAAATTTCGATCGAAAGGAATAAAAATTAATCGATTTTGTTCGTAATCGCTTGACAACGCCTCTTTGAACGGAATATATACATAAATAATGTTGAAAATGTTGAGTCGAGTGTCGGTGGAATTAGTTGTTTTTGTGGCCATTATCACATCTATAGTGTCAGCTGCTTCGGCAACAGAAGAAAGCTGGTTTGGTCCAGAATTCAGTGTTTTACAAAAAGTGTACGATGACTGTTTGGATAAAGATGATTTCACTGGATGTTTAAAGGGTCGAGCTCTAGTCGCTTTGAACAAAGCTATCAATCAGGTGTGCAATTTAAATTGCCCATTTCAAACAAAGTTGTGTCACACACAAACACACAAAAAAATGAGAACAAGTGTCTTCAACATTTCGATTTTCCTCAACATTTTTTTTCTCTTCTCTTTCCTTTTTTCCTCTCTTTTGATGGCCGTTTATTGATTAGGATTCAATTTCGATTGTTGATGGCATTTATATGGAAAAGCAAAATGAGACAGACGTTGAGAAGACACCAGAATTTGCTGATGCCCGTGTTCTAAGTGACCTAAGTGGTGTCGATCGTCAGCTCATGGAACAAATCAACAAATTTTTGCGTACACACGTATTGAAGGTTGATTTGAGTGAAGAACGTGGTGGCGGTGGATTTGGTGGCAACAAAGGTGGAGCCGGTGGCGGCAAAAATAAACTTAAACGTAAGTATCTCTCAAGAACATAATTGTTTTTTTTAAATCTCAATTTTACAAATTTTCATAGTTTAGTTTGTTGTTATAATTCGCACGATATATTGTTTTACTTATGAAATTGCACAAATGATAAAATTGTAAATAATTTAAATACACAAAATATTTGTTTTATTTAATTTGAATCTTTGTTTTCAATCACGAAATTGGTGCCGTAAGAATAGAGTTGCCAAGGTATGGAAAAAGTGAACATAAAACAAAAAAAAAAGTTTCATCAATATATGGATGACTCAAAAGTAGAATAATGCGTATTTCTATTTTTCTCTTTAGCAAAAAATATTGTCGATGATCAGCACATGTTCTTGTAAATGTAATTTGTACGTAGCTCAAATTTGATTTAAACTCTTCTGTAGAATTCATCAATGCGATTACAAAAATGCTTGTCTGTACAAAAAAAACTTCCTCAATCAAAAAAGATACAAAACAAAACTGCAGCGCTACTGTATTTACCTTCGAAGCTACAAACTCTGTAAAAATGAATTTTCTTGTTAATTTCTCTTCAGTAAACTCTTTTGTTTTTTGTTCTTTTCATTTTTAAGAAAACCAAAATTCATTGTTCGCAAAACCAAATCTGATCCGTGAATTTTCTGCCTTTCTTTCTTCAATTTTATTCTAGCGAAAAAAGCAAGCCGATACATTATTGCCGCTCTTTTAGCCGCAATTGGTATAGCCGCGCCCCTCGGGCTAAAGGCAATCGCCGTCATTGCTGGCAAAGCACTTCTAATCAGCAAAATTGCACTCACGATTGCTAGCATAATCGCATTGAAAAAAATTTATTCAAGTGACGCTCCACGCGAAACACAAGTTCAAGTGTTTGCCGACGATCATCGGCGAATCGGTCGTCCAGCTAGATATCGATCACCAGCTAAATCAAAAATCACGGAACCATACCGACACTATTCTGACTATAGTTTACGACGCCACTAAAATCCAAAAACAATTATTCAAATTAAATCCAAACAGAACACGCACAGCACACGCAATTCATCACCAAAAAAAAAAACTAAAACATAACCATCCACTGATCAACAATTAACACACACCCCGATTAGTCTATTCCAAACACCTTCATCTACCATGAAACCAAAAAATAATGAACAGAAACGGTTGAGTTAATTCGATTGTTACGAACGAAAAATGTTCACGATTTTGTGTTAGAGTTAGGAATTTTTTTTAATGAATCTGTTTGGCATCGAATTATTGTTTTTCTTTTTTCATAGTGAGAGAGCAAAAATAAAACGACGAAGAATGAGACAGTTTATTATCATTATTTAGTGAATTCAGTTAAACATAATTTATTAACTTATTTATTTATTTACTTATTTTTATTTTTGTAAATTTATTAATATTACCATCCATACCTCTGAAATGCATGAAAGGAAGGACATTCGATTGAATGCAAAGTACGATAAAAAAAAATAGAAGTGCTTTGAATTTTCAACGAAAGTTTTGTGTACAGATAGTGAGTAGTGCCGTAGGATATCGAAGTAGTTAAACAGAAAAAATATATATACCAATTAAATTGTACTTTATTGACTAATTCGACTTATCTAATCTAGCTCGGCAAATCTGAAAACGGAATCATGATCAAAAAAAAATTTGTTTTGAAAATAAATTGTTTGCTTTTCAAATCAGAAAACTGAATGTCAATTGATTTTATTTTCTAATTTGTTTTTTGGATGAAAAAAATTACACCAAACGAACAGATTTAGATTCGCCGGCATCGTTGTCTTCTGCTAACTCAATAGTTAAATAATAAAATATATCACACAAAATTCTCACCACATTGCAAACGAAATGAGACATGGCATGGATTCGTACCGGAACGCAAAAACAATGGCACCGTCTTTCTCTCTCTCTCTCTCTCTCTCTCTCTCTCTCTCTCTCTCTTTCTCTATCTCTGGGAAAATCGCAACAAAATTCAAAAATCGGTTTTGGAAAATTATAATACTAGAACATCCACAAAATAATTCACAAAATGATTAAAGAAAAAAGAAATTTAATTAAAAATTCAGCATATTTGCATGTTATATCAATGAAAAATCAACCACAACCACCAAAATAATGTTTGATTACTGATTTGTTGCATGTTTTCCTCTCTTTCCCATTTTATTTCGTTTTTTGTAGTGAAAAAATCCGGTGGCTACATTATTGCTGGCTTATTGATGGCGTTATCTATAGCTGGTCCGCTGGCATTAAAAGCGTTAGCTGCAATAGCTGGCAAAGCATTAATCATCAGTAAAGTTGCATTGACCATTGCTAGTATAATCGCATTGAAAAAGATTTTCAGTAGCGGTCACGACGCTCGTAGTTTCAATGAATTGCTTAACATGCCGCCTACCTTTCTAGACGACCTAATGCCAAATCAAAATAATGATCCATATCGGTCCCATCACCGTGCGTTCCGCCATTAGATTCATTCTCGCAAAAAAAAAAAAAAAACAAAAAAAAATGAAAACAAAGTGTAGACCAGAATCAGAAACCGAATTACATTGTATTGACCAAAGAATCACACCAAGAATTTTTGAAGAATAAGAAAAAATGAACCAAAAAAATATATGACATTAATCAATTATTATCGCAAATAATCACATGAGCAATTTCTCTTCAAGGAAGATAGAAAATCGTTCGCGTTAATTTGTGTGTTTGTGAGAGTTGGTGCGGGCGTATGTGTGCGCGCGCGCACGCTCATTTATATTGTGTGTAAATACTCAAGTTGTAACAACTAACTAACTAGACCGTGTGGTGTTTAATTGACTATTAATGTTTAGGTAGCCGCGAATTTCATGTCATTGTTTTGCGTTTTCATTTAACCGACCAAATGGAAAACAACAGAAGAAAATAGAGGGAGAGAAAGAGAATGAAATTAATTTTTTAAAAAATGGAGGAATTTCAAAAGAATTTAGAGAGCAGAGAAATTAGGTGCGCATTGGGGTTTGTGGTGCATCTCATCTTCATCTCATCGTCGGTTGGATGTTGTGTGCATGCACCACATCTTTTTTCGATACAATTTGTGCGTTTTTTTTTGCTTCGTTTCGGTTTATTTCATATCTGTGCATGTGTAAATTCACTTTGCTGTATAAACAACTATAATTTTCTATTTTCAAAGCGTAGAAAATGATTGAGAAGCCAAAACGAACCAAATAAGAGATACATTTGCTCTTCTTTATTCCCCCAATTTAATACGAAAATGATTATGTTTAAGCATTTCGGTGAAATTTTTGTTTTCTTGTTGTTAAAGCTTTTTTTCTTCATTTCTTCGACTTTGTATAAAAAAAATGAATAACAAAACAAACATAAGAATACAGCTTAAAGTCACGCCAAAGATGATAATAGTAATGATAATAATACTCAATGGGAAATTCAAGTGAATCAAAATGCCAATTACGTACTATGTTTGTAGATCCGCCACGATCAGCTGTTTGAAAATTCATTCATGCTGCTGTCCATGTCGGAATTCTAATGAATGACACAAGAACAAGATGGGCGTATCTTGAAGACATGAAGCTTAACATTATGTTATGATTTACCAGTTATTAATCTTAATGTGTACCTTCAACTTGAATCGACGCAAACACAAACATACGTCCTGCTATGCCATTCAAATAAACACGGTTCGGTTATGCCGGCTTCGGCTGTTCACTTGAATTTTCTCTTGTGAATTAGGTCACTAGGAAATCAAGTAAAATAGAAACTTACATTTATTTATGGCCTAATATAATAATTCAAAAAAAACACACTAATTTATTGCTAATACTATTCATTCGCGTTACATTTGTTGTAGTCAAATGTTTCTTTGAGGAGAGAAAGGTCGAATTTTGTAAAAAAAAAGCTGAAGATGAAAAGCGTTTACATTTAATTTTATTTATTTATTTAAATTATTTATTTTGTTCTTCCATTTCCCAAAAATGATAATGAATAAAAATATCTGAACATTTGTAAATCTATACACTTATATCATTTATTAAGTGATTTTTTTTCACACTATTGGGACGATCGGGTACAGCGAGCGTCTTTAAAAAAAACAATTTTCATTTTTTGTTCGGATAATTTTCGTTGCAGCCAAGAAGAGCTATCGTTACATCATTGCCGCTTTGCTAACGATAATGGGTATCGCAGCTCCACTCGCAATGAAAGCGGTCGGATTGATTGCATACAAGGCATTGGTTATCAGTTCAGTTGCATTGACAATTGCCGGCATTATTGCGCTAAAGAAAATCTATTCAAGCGATCATCATGATGAGACGACATTCCATGTTGCATCCGGCGATCATCGACGAACAGCTTACTTGGTACGAGGACAAGGCGCACAAAATCATCAGGCCAATCAAGCTACTCCTCCGCAAGAATCTCAAAACGATCCATACCGTTATTACTACGATTATCCAGCGCAACAATCACAGTAAATTTTCGAATTTACCGCAGATTTAATGCGCGCAACACAAATACCACCTCATGCAAGACCAAATGCTTCATATCAAAAAAGGAATAATGATTCGCTCAAATAATTTTCTAGGTTAATGAAAAACAAAACAGCATGTACTAGACATAAATCGACTAATGAAAGAGAGTGAAAGAGAATGATAGATAGAAAAAATTCAGACCGTCCTCGTCAGCAACAACAACAATAACAACAACAGCAGCAACAATAACAACAATTCGTTAATTTTAGTTTATTTATTGAAACGTATTTATTTATTTATTGAATTAATTTTTAGAAATTGAAACAGAGAGAAAAAAAGAATAAGATAGAAAATGAAGAAGTATCTACGTGTTTACATTGTCTATTTGAAACCACATTTCGTTTGTTATCGCACTTCATTCACTCGAACTACAAAAAAAATGCATCCACATGAGAAATTTATATTTATAAATTCTTGTAATAACAACCATAATTTTGTGTGCATTTTACTCAAAATCGAAAATAAATTTATCGAAATTTACCACCACTCGACGCAAGCTTCGGAAACGAGAACATAAATGGCAAAATGTACACCATTTGCCAAATATCCAAATACAATCGCATCGATTTGGAATTTGAATCTTTTTTATTTTATGTTTGTCTACTTTTTTCAGCGTCTTTGTTTCTTTGTATTTCATGCAGAATTTGTTCGCTCAAAGAATGGATGGCGTAAATTCAGTCAAATTAAGGTCAATGAAGCTATTTTGATTTTCTACAAAATTGAGAAATTCTTTTATAGTTGACGATTTTCCGATTGTTCTTTACTTAAATGATAAGATAAGCTTCGAATGGTTAAAATTCCAGCATCCAATAGTACTTCTTTCTACTTTTCATTCGAATCAAATTTTTATTCTTGCTGATTTTGTTTGATTTTTCACAGATATCTTCTACGCTTTATTTTATAGACTGGCCGGATTGGATAATCCTTTTTTATTTTACGACACATAAAAAAGATTCAAAAATTACTACTTTGTTTGGTGACTTTTATGTTGGGCATTTTAAAAAGAGGCACAAATGCACAAATATTTTCATTTGATAACGACTAGATAAGCTAAAGAATGAAATTGTAAACAAAAGCGAATCTTGATTTGTTTATCAACTTCAAAGAAAGTGTAAGTATTTTTTTTTTCTAATAAAAAAGCGGTTAATAAGAGAAAGCAAACCAAAATGAGTGACACAAAAAAATGCCTGTTGGGCTTTGCAAATACCTTTTTTCTTTTAAGTCGTACTCAAATATTTATTTTCAAACACCCAAATTTATACTAAATTATGCTATAATATTATCAAATTAAGACGGATGCATAAGAATCTGCTATGTATTTTATAACTTTTATGATTCCATCGAAATTTGACGAGTATAAGATAGCTTCAAAGACGTTTTCGGTTCAAAACTCTCAATATTTTGAAGAATTCTACGACTTTCTTCATTTATCAAGCTTTTCTCGGTAATTCCATTTTTGATTCTCTGGCGACTTAAAAATAGAGAGAAATTCTATCGCATCATGAGTCTTGTTAAAACAACATCGATTTAATTTTTGTCACTCATTCTTTTAGCTCAAAAACTCCATCCCAATCTCAAACTCTCCCCATATGCATTAGAATACAAAAAAACAAGCCACTTGCACACAATAATTTAAAATTGTGGTACAAAGTTACCACAAAGTGGATTCCATCATTCGAACAATGCGCAACGATGTGGGTTCAAAGAAGTTGTTATGTTTTTCAGTCTCTTCGTTTCATTCGTATCAAAGATTCGAACGGAAATTACACCGAGAAGAAAAAAAAATGAACACACAATAAGCACTTTTCATTACACATATTGCATTTTTCGAGTTGTTCGTTCGGTAAGAGCATCACATTTTTGTTGTTGCCTCGTCGTTTCACAGCATGGGTATCGTTTTCGTCAAAGAAAAAAAAAAGCGAGAATAAAACAAAATTAAAAGCTACAATCTTATTGAATGCATGTAAGTAATAGTTGATGTATGTGTTTTAATATGTAGCAAAGTTTGTGGCTCGGCCATATTGAGTTATTTCACTTCAGCAAGCAGACCGCCAATCTCAAAAGCTGTATAATAAAGGTCATGGCATCAATTTTGAAAATCATGTTTCTCTCGGCCACTGCAATTTCTTTCGATGTTCATTTTTCTTCTTTCCATCCTTGAACACTTTGAAAATGGTTCGATGAATAGATTGTTGATTTATTTTTCCTCAAAACCACAAAGTGCATTTACTTGAAACGAAAATCAAGCAAAAGATTTCTTTAATATAAAGACAAAAAAAAACTTGATTCTCGAGTTGAATAAGAATATGTTAAAAAATATTTTTCTTCTTTTACCAGTTCCAAAATTTTAAAATGTTATATTGTATCGTAAATTGTAGTTTAGTTTCCCATAAAATTTATTACTTTAAATCAATGGCAATTGACGAGCAAACGAGTGAAAAATCCGTGCTCATCATGGTTGTACACACCCTCAGCGGAAAGGAAAAAAAAGCAACGCATCCATTTGAAAATCACTGGAAATTATTTTCATTGACATTGTCATTTTCTTTTGTTTCTTAATTGCCTATCTGTTTTTAGCATAAAATTTCCATTTCTTTTGTATTTTATGCGCTTGGTGTGTTATTATGGCCGGGATTTTTAATTAGAAACAGTGTCATTAAAAGCCAGCAAACGAATACAGAAAAAAAAAAATGCAAATTTATTTGCGTTCGGTATGCATGCTTTTTTTTTCCTCCTGCTATTTTCTTCGTTTTCATTCGATATTATATTTTATCTGGTGTTCGTTTGGGATGAAACATGCTTTGTGTGTTCGGAAATTCTTGGCACTATATTGTCGATTTTCATTCAATTTCATAAAGCATCCAATGGTGGGATAGCAAACGATGGAAATGAAAAAAAAGTAAGAAAGACTTATTTTTATTTTATCAGCAAGAAAAAAAAATTAAATGAATAAAGAAGATAGAAGTAAAAGAATCGAAAGGGCAACACGAAAAAAAAATCGGCTTCGTCACACAATCGAATCGGTGCTGGAAAACAAAACAGAAATGACGCAAATGAACAACGGGCGGCAATGAATAAATACAAATGAATTAAACTTAAGTTCTTAACTTTTCCAATTAAGCAAAGCTCGAGCTCGAAGAAAGAGCAAGAGAAAGAGAAAAAAAACTCAGAAAAATAATAATGCGTCAAGAATAGAAGAAATCTCTCTAGCGAAAATGGTTTTGAGATTCAGAGAGAGAAAGAGAGAAAAGCGAAAGAAAAATGTAGACCCAACACAATTAAGCCAAATGTTTTATTACGTGGCAAAGTTTTCGATGCGATGCACCACTCTGACTATCCAAAAAGCAATTTGCCCAGCACCATCCCATTTGAATAAATTATTGAGTTATTGTTATAGATTCGCTGTGTGTTTTTTTTTTACTTCTCTATCTGCGTCGAAAATGGCTGGGACGGTTTTGTTTTTCTTTCGATTGTGATTAATTTTTAAATAATTATACATTAGTGTCGTTACGATTTTTAAATCCATTTCTTTTCGGCTGTTGGTTTAATGTTGTTTTGAAATACGCTTAAATTAGCAATTAAACAAATGATAATTTTCCAAAAAGGACGACATTTTTATTTCGAGTGTCCTTTCTTTAATTGCACGTTGTGATTCAATCTTTTTGTTATTTCACCCGAAGGGAATAAATATACATTCGAGTTGAAATCATTTTAAGAGCAAAAAAAAGTGATATAAAAGGGCAATCCATTCAAAGAGGAAAAAAACCTCTTCTATGAGTTTTCGTGACATTTTTCCACTTCATTCTCATTGGTCGACGGAGTTTTCTCAAAATGAAAATAGTTAAAACATGTTTTTTTTTCTTCTTTTGATGCTCAGTGATTGATTTCAGAAAACTTTTCATTTCCGATATTGTCATCGAACCTTATTTTTCTTTGAATGTGTTGTTGTCTACTCCAAAAGATACAATCACACATCATTTTGTAATTGATGACTCCTCTTGTTTTACAAGCATTTTCGAGGCACCCTCGCACTTTCGGTACGATATGTGATTTGATCTAGCCGATAACATTTCATAGATGAGCAAATAATGTAATTACATATTCTTTTTGTTTTCAACATACTCGCATGACGGCTTTATATCGAGGGGTGCCATTTTGATGTTATTGGAAAATTTCGTATTATTATCGAAATGAAAAAAAAAAAAAAAACATTCTGTAGGAATTTCACAAGTTTCGCTGATGAATTCTACATTTTTGAGTTAAACTATTTTCCGATGTCATGTTCTTGCTTTCTTATCGTTTCTGATTTGATTAATCATTTTTGTCGCGATTTTATCAAGTTTTGAAAATATATTTCCTTTAAATCTAAAAATTGAACTTGACTTCTTCAAAATATAACTTCAAATTTCAAGGAAATATCAATGAAATTAAAAAAAAACTCCCTTTATTTCACACTGAACACATTAATTTCCTCAATTCGGCTTGAATTCTATGAAAGAGAGTAAAAACATCTATGCTGCCTTGCATTTCCCGCATTTTATTTTATTTTATGAATCGTAATGGATTCTGTTTCTGGTCGCTTCTTATTCATGTTAAATTCATTAATCAAATCATACGTTCAATGAAATTGACGATTCCCTCTTCTATTTAAAAAGTTAAATTTGTCATGTATATTTTATAACATTTACGCATTTCAAATTCGATTGCGAGAGCATGAAAATAAGTAGTCAAAATTCAGGGATGCTCTAGCATGGGTGTCTAGCAACGCTGACATTTTTTTTTCTTCCGCTTCTCTTTCGACCGTATTTGGTGTATTAGCATGTTCAAATTATGGCTTTTATTCATTTTCGGATGATGATTAAGTGAATTAAAGTTGTTCGGTTGCTTTTGCTTTTGCTCACGCAATTTGATTTATAATGTTATTTTCTATGCCTCACACCATATCGATATCATTATTTGGGGTATGATTGTACGGATGTACGTTAAAATATTCGATTTCTTGCCGCTTTTATTTGTGTTGCCCCACGGAAATGGGGAAACAATTTTTTTTGGCTTTCTGGGACAATACAAGATTGTTGCAGCTTGTAAGTTGAATGTAAGTCGATGATCAACTTAATTTATTTTTACAAGGTGAATCATGGCCAGTCAAAAATTGACTTTAGAACTCCATTTCGCTTTTTTTTATTTTCTCCCTTTTTTCGCATTCGAAATGAAAATATTTTCATGTGAAAATGAATATTGAAAGAAAACTAAAAACACCGAGAACAAGAGAGAGAACGATATTAAATAAAAAAAATTAAATTAATTTTAAAAATGTGGTTGGTTTAAATTGTGGAAAAAAAACTTTCACCAAAGTAATTTCAAATGCTATTAAGTTACGAAAAAGTTGTCAAAATTGCATGTTTGCGTAAAATGTAAACAAACCGGAACAA